TGTCCCGTCGACATTATTCTATTGTAATGTTTTGTCGTTTTACTTCCTTCACTCCACCAACTAATACATATCGAATGTAGTTTTGCACGGCTCACACAGGAGACAGTAGTTGTCTGAATATTAAATCATTATTTTATGTATAATTGCGGGTAGATTGTTTGGGACCGGGTAGTTTATTGTTTGTTTTATAAATAATACGAAAAAGAAGAAATAAATTCAAAATTGCGTATCGATTACTCATAGATTTCTGCACATTTCCAGATGTCGAGTGATGGCTTGCGGGCCAACATGACTCTGGACTTTGTCGGAGAAAAAAACTGGATTTTTTTCTTTCTTCCGTCGTATCTATTATCCACCAGCAGCGACCGCAGACAATAATTATCATCTTGCAATCCATTTTTCTTTCTCTTAGCCGGCAGCTCTCTTGTATAAGACAACAAACTGTCTGTAATTGTTCTGGAATTTCAATCGGTGAATAGCCCGTAATAGAAATCATTATTTTCTGACCTTTGAGTCTGGTTTGTGTATCAATGCATTTCTTGAGTAATCTTTTCAGTATATTTCACCCGTCACTCGTTTTTAAAGAGAGACGTCTAGTAGCTGTTGATTACAATTTTATGGTAATCTCATGTTGTGTTATCGTATACCATATAAATGGTAGAATTGCGTATTTTATCAGCGACGCCATGTGCTAATCTAGTAATTAAAAATTTTATACACAAATCTTTTGTTGCACAGCTACTTGATAATTATTTTACAAGTATTTCATGAAATCGTGTGGGGGTCCGAAAAATAAGTGAGTTTTCGATATCGTCTGTCTGAGAATGAACAGAGAAAGAAAATAGCAGATGTTCATAAACACGTTTTGCTTCTTTATATTTGACACACATAGCACCCGACAGCCGCACGTTTGATACCGATTGAATACAAGGGTGTTCATTGTTAAACAAAATATAGTCTGGAGATTTGAACGAGACAAAATATTCCATCTGTACGCATATTTTTTACTGTCTACCGAAATGACGAAAAAAAAAATATTTCTAAAAAACGATCGTTGTTATTATTTAGTGATCAGCACTTTTTGCCGTCTATGTAATTCATTTGTATTATCAAAAAAGAGCACGGGCAGAATATTTTTATTTTTTTGCAACGTTAATTATGTAATTTTTCAGTGAGTTTAAAAGGTAAACTGATTGGTGCCGTCAAAATGAAGTACGACGGTTGTTTACGACGTAATAAAATATATGATGGAAGTAGCGAATTGATTTCAGCGGCAAGTTTTCATTTTTTTTTTCCTTTTCCATAAATCAATCATAAAAACCTCACTTGCTAATAGTAGATGCGTGGACGGGCGGAAGCCGATAACCGGGTTATTACCGAGGAAAACTTATGTATAAGGCACATAGATACGAGTGTTGGTCAGAGAAGAGAGAGTGGTGAGGTGCTGCAATAATGTTCGGTGGTCATAATTATGAAAAAAAATCATCCACTTCTCTCTGGGTGTGTACCGCACGTTCGACCGGCGGCAAAATCCTCTGTTATTATGAAAAATGTCCTGTTCATATACATTATGTAGTAAATGTACACACGGTTGCTGTATACCGCGACCGATGTGCTCCTCACGAAACACGATATCGTCTTGTTGTGTGCTGATCATCCGGAAACGAAATCGATTGCAGCGGCTCTTCTCTGTCGTTTTGTAATAATTTGCATTTTTATCTTCTGTGACGTTGCGGAGAGCATTTATCACGACACCGGTTAATTAATTAATTGGCCGTGCAATAGCAATTATATTGTGCACTAGGTCTAACCGTCGCTCGGTTTATTGTTTGCTTAACGAGCCAGATTGCCGTGCGCATGTATCCGTGTAATAGTATTATTGTAGATTTGTTCATCGTTATGGCAGTGTCATTAATTATACGCAGCACAAGAGTACCATTGAACAATTGTAAGTAATCCGTATGCAACGGTGCGGTGCGATACTGGCGAATAAACGACCAACGAAATGTTGGTCTTTGGAATAAAAAAAATCATCCATTTATTTACGCGTTTCGCTATTGTACCTATACGGTGTATTGCCCATAGCTATGCGAGTAAAAGAATAAAAAACGGACGTCAACGAACGGCTGGTTTGCGTGTCGCATATTGTCCGTGAAAAAGCAAGAAGAATGCTAATACCTGTGCGGTAACGACAGCGCCGTGTCCTCCGGCCGGTCCGTACAATACCGGGAGCCGAAGGTCTTTTGGCTGTTGTTCTCTGCGCTACGGCGGCAGCTCAGTGCGGCGGTGGTAGTGACGGCGCGCGTCCGGGTACTTTGACCCATGGGCAGACCCGTTCACGCCCACCAATATCAATAGCCGTAATGATACCATGTTTTCGCGGTTTGCATGTGCGCACACCGAGTGCATAGTTATTTTTATTTATCTGTATTCTTCCCCTTCGATCGTTGCTTAGCGATTTGTTAATTATCAATCGAATTGCCCACTGCGAATCGTTTCGAGATCCGTCGCCGGCGCTCGTGGGCAGTACGAAACGCTCTTTGCCCGTCACCATCACAAATGTGTAATTTAAGTGTTCGCCGCCGACACCACAGTATCCCGTACGGCGCTATGTTGTACCCTAAAGAATAAATTAATTTATAACGATTTTTGTTCTTCTGTGTACAATGGCGTCCGTTGAATCGACATTCTCGGCGTGTCCGACACCAAATATTCATAATAATAATAATAATGAGAGTCTTTGTTCGGGCGTTTTATTTATTATTCTATATAAAGACGTCGGTACGCGATGAATAAGTAATCAATTGTAATTTTTTGTAATAACACATACATCTATAGCTCACAGCGTATGTACACAACACTACGGTCGATGTGAATTACTCTCCGGTCTATGTCGCCCTTGTGGTGTTCCACGTTATTTCATGCGCGAGCCAAAGGAGAGAATTGCACGTCCGAGACATCGGCGGAGTTAAACACCTAGACGCGTGTAAAAATAAAATTGCGATATTCCAACAAAACCCGTGTATGTATTGTGCTCGAGTAACGCGATACACGAGAAAACGTCCGAGCGGTAAAGACCCACCCCATTGTATGCCGTTGAGGTATATGGTATCGAGGCCACCGCAGTTGTATATACATACGACTTTGTGAGGTGATGCACGTGTGATTTAATGTTATCCGACCGTCTCGTCGTGCGCTTGTAACAAATTGGCGTTGTACATGCACTTCGCCGGCCTTAGTACATCTTTTATTGGCCGGCACCTAGTGTACGCGGCCGCACGCAATTTCGTATGCACACGCCGTCCGCTTGGCGTTGCGGCCACCAGCAGTTTTATGCGTGTATGCAGTTTATTGGCGCGGCCAAGAAAATAATAAAAATCAACGTACTACACCCGCCGATGCGTAAGAGTTGACGGAACGGTGGCCGCGCAAAAACGCCACGAAAACCCGGCGTGCAGTGTACGGCTGTGAACGCGCAAGGCGATGCTGCGGGTTTTTCATTAACAGACACGACCGTTGGCGGCTATCGGTGGAACGAATTGTTACGTGGAGTCGCGCGAGGTAATAACAATGTCTGGGGTTATTATTATTATGTTACATTATTATGCATGGGCAGCACACAATAGTATTAGTGACTAATTATTCGTAACGCGAGAAATGAACGAGGTATATTTTGAAATTAATGGCGTTGGAAAAATTGGCCCTGTGCATTTTGTGTCTAATTACGATTGGTGGTAGCGGTTGCTACTCGCTGGATGATAGTCGTATTGTGTGTAATGACGACGCGACGATGATTACGCGTTTAAATCTCGCCGGACGACGAGGTAGCTGTTGGTCTAGTCGATTTTAAACTTAATATTAATAATATTTTTTACTAACACGGGCCACGCGGTACGCGTTTGTGAGACCGGGAAAGGGAATAAAAAAAAATTATCGTTTGTTGTTAGTAAAATATTAGACCCGAGATCATTAGGTTCTTTCGTGCCGTACGCAGGGCCGTCCGTATCTCCTTCACGGTCGACGGAACAATCCATTAACGCGCGAGCCACTACGGTAATCCGACCCCCGGGCCGTCCGCTTGTGTTTGACGACAAAACGAGAATGGGAAAATAAGAAAAATCACCTTAGGTCGCCCGCAGGCTAATGGACGTCCAGTAAGATTTTCGGTGTGGATTTTTGTAACAACAATTATTATTAATAGTACAAAAACGGAAACGCGCGTTGCCTGCAACGAATTTATTTTTCATAAAATTTTGTTCAATTAAAAGAGCACTATGAATACTCTTATTGTGTAGCAGTCAACTTTTATTTGAAAAAAAAAAACAGACAGAAACTCGGATGCAAATATGTTGATACCATAGAAGTTTATACAAAAGGAAATAGTTTCCTGGATTTCTGTTCGATTAATCACGAGACGCGCTTAGTGTTTGTGTTGGGGCTGTGCATTGAGCAAACCCGTCACACTCAACCCATAACGATGCAGATTCGCGATTATAATATTATTATTTTAGATATAAAAATGCACAAGTCGCCCGTAGGTGATCTTCTGCGTGTACGGCGTATACGTCGTCTTGCGGTAACGTTGCCCGCATCTTGTCTGCTATACGGAACCGGTCGACCGAATCCGAATTATGGTTGGAGATACGATCTGGTTTTTTTTGTTTTAAACAATATTTCCAGTGGTCTTCGCCTCGACCCGGTCACCCTCCGCCCTCCGCCCTCCGCTCGTATAATATTTTATTTATCTCGGCATCTCGTGACCGCTCCTTGTCCACAATGCGCGAGCACACACACAAGAACGTGCTCCGGGCGGCCAATATTTTATTACATGACGTCTTCTCTCTACCCCAGCCTCGCACACCAGCTCGCCTATCTATACGTTATGCCGTATTATTATTATTATTATCATCTTTTTTTATATGTATACACACATTTATTCTATACACTCTCCGTATATAATACAATAACAATAATAATAAACTACCCGTTCATTGTTTTAGTTGTACTGGATTGTTCGTGGGCCCGTATTGCCAGTGGAAAAACCCGTGTCATACAGGACCCGTGCCTCGGTGCCAGAACGGAGGTACGTGTGCCGTCACGCAACTGTCGCCACACTCTCAGCCTGGATTCGCGTGCCAGTGTCCACTAGGGTTCACAGCGTCCCTGTGCGAGATACCCATTTCTAATGCCTGTGATTCGAAACCTTGTCAGAACGGAGGCACGTGTTGGCTACACGATATCAAGGAGCATCGATGCAACTGCGCTCCCGGATTCACAGGTAAACAAACCAACTGGTCAACAATAATTTTACTTAAGAAATGTTTTTATAGTTTTTTCGCGTTTATAACGACTATTTTCTGGATATTTTCGAGTGAACTTGGTTCACCGCTAGTTATGATCGTTTGGACTGTCGTAAAATTGTCATGAAATTTCCTGATCCTCTAGTTTAAACCGTTATTCTATGGATTTTTTAAACATCCCGTTAAAAGCCATATTTTTCTTCGACTAAAAAAGAGTGATCGAAATAGGATGTAGGTTCACTAAAAGAATTTTTAAACTTTCCACAGACACTTCTGTGACTTTTTGATAAATATAACAAAAATGTATTTTACACGTATAGAAACGCTTTATTTTATCAATTATGAATTGAGCACAAGTCAATGTTACGTTTAATGTTTGCAGGACCGAATTGTGAGCTAGAAGATCACTGCGCGTCGGGTCCGTGTAAAAACGGTGCCGAATGCAAGTCCCAAGGCGATTCCTACGAATGTACGTGCGCCCCCGGGTTCACGGGCCCAACGTGTTCAGAAGACATCGAGGAATGTTCGACCACGGTGCCATGTGTACACGGACAGTGCGTCAACACGCACGGATCATACGCGTAAGTTATAATTATTATTGTTGTTGTGTATGTGAGGGGCCATAGTTGCGGCCTAAAAGCGGATAATTGTGTGCCGTACTCATAAAACATGCGCATAATGGAAAACTTGAAGCCCTTTTTCCGGTTGGTCGCCTAATTAGCGAGTCGAAACGACTGTAAGATAAACGTCGGACAAAACTTCGAGAACCGGATTTTTGGGACATTACGATTGAGTTGGGATTATTATTTTAATACATGTTTATTATTTGTATCATAACGGACAGCCATGTTGTGTGCAAAGAGAGAAACGAGGTGATTAAAATATAATGCACGTCTTGTAAGTTGTATGAGTTTGTGCGTATAAAAAAAAACGCAATGCACGCAAACTGACAAGTCGTAATTTTTGTGTCGTTTGTGGACGTGTAATTATTTCTCTTCTGTAGGCGTTTCTTCGGTGTAACTATGTTATGATCTATACGCGAACAAGTTGTAAAATAAAAACAGCAGATATAAAAAAATAGACCAAATTTATTTTCTTAGCATTTACATTAGTCGGTAATACTATGTTACTTGTACGAGGCTGTAAAGAGAAGAGTTTTTCTCATAGCCACGATAATCTTACAAAAAAATTAGTTGGTTTTCAATTAAAAAAAAAAAAAATAAGAAAGTCTAATTTTATTTCTTACATTTCCTTCGTACGTTGCGTTTGTACACGTTCAACTTGTATATCAGGTATTTAAATTTGTTTAGCCATGTAGAGTGTTTTAGCAGTTTTACTGAAACCTCATTGGTCGTATCAATGAGTGATTTCTTATGAGAGACTTCGTTTTTGTTTTCTAACAAAACCGTTATAAAAATTAAAAACAAGAACACACCGCAAAAAAACTAATGAGTTTTTATCATAACATAATAGAACTTGGTCGTGGGACAATATAGACCGGTCGACGACGGTGTATGTATAAACATTTCTATTTATATTGTTTTTGGTAGCTCACAGATAAGGAATACTCACCCACGCAAAAAAGACAATACCACACAAATGTACAGTTTTTATGTGTGCAAAAGCGATAGTATAATTTTTTTTATTTTATATATACAATTCCGTTTTACGGTTCACACGATTTTTAACTATGAAAACACTACCGTCCCGGACTGCTCACACAATTGACCTATTGTTTTGGATCCATGTTGATTGATCACGTCATTTATGCAAAAAACCAATTGACTGTATGAACTAACAATAAAAGCGCGTTTCGATGCAGAAAAAATAAAAAACTATAATACAACGTTGTTTGTATTAAACAATCATAACTGTTGCCGGATAACTTTTTAAATTCGCATAAAAAATTAGAAAGATAAATCGTTCGTAACGCGTGTGCGTCAGCGAAAGAACGTCATACATTAATTAGCGCACCGTGAAAGAATTGCATGTCTAAAGTAGACAATTGCAGATCGAACACTCCACTGATTACGGGACACTTTGCGTATCCGTAAACAGCGCATTGTTATACTGAGTACGACGTGTTATGAGAAAATGTAACATGGTTGTTAGCGTTATCATTGGCGATTTTGTGCTCTGATTTAAATTGTACTTTCTGTTTCAGGTGTATGTGCGAGTCGGGTTACACTGGCAAGAACTGCGAGATGGTGTATGTACCGTGCGACCCGTCTCCGTGTGTGAACAACGGCCGGTGCATGCAAATCGACGATCTCAATTACGAGTGCAAGTGCAAGTCCGGTAAGTTTCTCGTGTACATCGTAAACAGCTTAGCCTTTTGCCACGCCGTACGGTATTTGGTATCTTTGACTCGTAGAGACTGCGCGCACTGCGACCACCCCGCTCTCTTTACCGCGACAACACGAGTAGTGGCGTAAAAGTCGCTGCGTACACGTGTAGCCCACCTGTAAAAAATAACGATTATTTATTATTTTAACACAAAGTACTTACCGGATCCGCAGGGGGTTCCTTGCGTTAGATTTTTACTTCGAGACACGCACAATGAACTCCGGGGGCATCGGATCCTCCGACTAGCTGCCCTTGTACACGGTATAATATGTTTAACCGAGTCGCAGCAACCCAGGGGACAATGTAAATAACATCATCGAGGCACGAGTATACTGTTTAAGTGTAGACACTAAGACGTTCCATAAGATAAAAAAGTATATATTTTACCCGTCGGATTAGTTGTTTGGAACCGATAAAATATAATACAACGGTTTCCACTAGAAACGCATGTCACCACGAGCATATTTTATACCTTGAGTTTCGCATGGAAATCTATCTATTCGAAAAAAGATTGATAATTAATTATTATCCGAAATACTTCCGGCCGATGGTCTGTCCATCCGCAATACTCGTTAAAATTTTGTCGGAAGCTGTTGGCCTTATCAGTTGTTGGCGACCATCAGGCCGTGGGAACCGTGGACTATCGAGTATAATGATAATTGATCTGCAATATTTTAGGACGTTCATTAGAGTAACTATAAAGTGATAATAACAGAAATTGTTTTTTATTTTGTTATTCGTTATTTAAATTCCTCAGATAAATACTATCGTCCGACTATCCCTAGAAATGATTGCACCTGAATTCCGTTGCTATAGTCCAAATGACTGTGTACTATAATTCAAAAAGAACCTCTATCGTATGGCTTAAGCTTTCTCTTGGTTCGATGACGGCTACAACTTTGTAAAAAATTACTTTACGTAGGCGCTTTGGTGTTTCTCGGAAATGTGTGCGCCACCGTCATTGTTATTTCAAACATGTCGTCACTATATTCTTAAAAAATAATGTCAAGACGTTGACCGCGTGATGAATTATTGTCAGATGTTGCTACAGTTTTTAAAAATAACGCCGCTTTTCAATGATTTAAAAATTTAATATCCTCGTATATTATTAACGTGTGTGAGATTCGTAGTTTGTTGTGGGCCTGATATTTTTTCAGCTGGCCGCTGTTTGTTGCGTTATTTATTTTACTTAACTGTTGATTGTCTTTTGCTGCTAATACACACTGATAACATAATATTGTTATTATGGTACCAACACTGTCGTTTCATCATACGAGCGAGCGGTTGATGGACGACGTATACCTTTCAGCACGTTTCTCGCTCATAGACGTTTGCATACCAACTACATATAAATATGTATATATTTATACGGTCGGTGCCCGTTATTAAGCCGTTCTTGTGTTCTCCTGTTCTCGAATTGTCGACTGATCGTGTACTGACACTGCTGCTAACGGAACGTTATGCCCACACCGCATAAATTCATGATAATATATCCGATTCGACTCGCCGCCGATCTGAATTTTTATCGCCATAATCGTGACTGGAGAATAATATAATATATTAAGTTTTTTTTAAATACTCCTCCAACACCCGTCTAACGGATCACGCATCTTCTTTCATATCAACACTTTGAGTTATTGTATTCATTTTCGAAACATACTGCCACGTGTGAAATCTTTATACAGTTTCTTCCGTTTTGTAAATCTATGAATCGATTACAATACCTATTTTATAGTATTATAGTCGCATGGCTAATTTACGCATCAAGCCATCGATGTCATATTACCGTTCATACCAACTTAAAAAAAAGCTAAAACCGTGTATTAAAAACCAAAGTCATATTAAACTGCTTTATTTCAATTAAATTCATTTTCAATATTGTTTTTATAGGGTTCCGTGGAAAGAACTGCGAAGAGAACATAGACGATTGTATACCTCACGCATGTCTGAACGGAGGTACTTGCGTGGACGGCGTGAACGCTTACACGTGTTCCTGTCCGCCTCAATGGACTGGCGAATCGTGTGAATCTGATGTGGACGAGTGCGCCATGCGACCAAGTGTCTGCCATAACGGAGCCACTTGTACCAACTCTTTGGGTTCATACAATTGTATATGTGTTAATGGTTGGACTGGCCAAGACTGTTCTGTGAATATTGATGACTGTGCCGGCGCTGCCTGTTTCAACGGTGCTACCTGCATCGATCGAGTGGGAAGTTTCCATTGCCAATGCACTCACGGAAAAACAGGTATATTACGACGTGTTCCACTTGAAATTAATTCCATACCAAGTCTATCGAGTATTCTTCTAACCTACGTTTTGTTCCAGGTCTGCTGTGTCACTTGGACGATGCCTGTACATCGAACCCGTGTCATGCGGACGCAATTTGTGATACCAGCCCCATCAACGGGTCGTACACTTGTTCGTGTGCGTCTGGCTATAAAGGAATCGACTGCTCGGAAGACATCAACGAATGCGAACAAGGTACTGTTCAGTGGCGCAATCTCATTACTCTTAATATCTTAAAACATGATAATAATAATAATGGCTGAAAATCAAAACAATAAAACGGGGTTCCCACACTATCGCGTTTCATCAGACTCAAACCACACACATGCCGCCGCTGTCTTACAGGATAGAGCTACTGCACTCTACATATTATTTCTTGTAATCTACACCGGCCGTAGGGCTTTCTATATTATTATCCGGACCTTCGTCGAACAATGGGCCCGCCGGCTTCCTGTTCCCATGACGTGTGTGTGCATGGCATCCAATTGTGGGGGGTAAGGGGAAAGATTATTATCTTAGATTATAAAAATAGACGACGACTACGGCTAATTAAAATCGTCCATCTTTACACGAACCCTGTGAGGTTCGCGTAACGTCGTTGTTACGCCACCGCAAATTGTTCATTGACACCACGGAAAGTTTTGTCAATTTTTTTTTTACTTGTACACATGATACGACAAATGGTGTCGTCAGGTTCGCTGACAGACGACGGGTATGCGCATAAAAAGTGCTGTATGCAGTTTACATGGTCTTTACCTATGGGAGTACCAGTTTTTCGATAGCATAAAATTAAAAATATCTATCAGATACCGAAGATGTACGTAGATACGATTATGTTTCTACGCAGCATACGCGAATCGCGTTATAGATGTTCGTGGACTTGGGTCGTTCGTATAAGAAGGAGGATGCGCAGACAGTAAGCGAGAACGTCAGAGATTCGGCGAATATGACTGCACGAGCTCGATCGGGTGTTGCTGACGAGAATGGATTGCGTCTAGTCGAACGTTGTAATTAAGACGTAGTCATCTTTTTAAATTGTCAAATCAACAAAACGCCTCCCATAAACGAGTCAATTAAAAAACTTAATAGATTTTTTGATCGGTGGGTTGTTGAACGATATTTCATTAGTTACCCTATGCAACTGCAAAGTAGCTTTCACATGATTACAACTGTTTGTTTATTTTCTACCAGCCATGTCATATTATTATTATGATTAACAACTCTTAGATCTATTGATTTAAGCGTGGTACTTTTAGTATATTATGTGTAATTCGTATATAGTTTATATGTATTTAATAAAATAATTGTTTATAATATAAATAATTTTCAGGATCCCCATGTGAACACGACGGCGTGTGCGTTAACACACCCGGATCTTTCGCTTGCAACTGTCCACAAGGATTTACTGGACCAAGATGCGAAACAAACGTAAACGAATGCGATTCTCATCCATGCAAGAACGAAGGGTCTTGCTTAGATGATCCTGGCACGTTCCGATGCGTTTGCATGCCAGGTAAATTATTTATAGTTAATTGATTGATTATTTTGAAACGCCCAATAAAATATCTGTGCGTCGAACTTATTAAATCAACTGACTTCGATAACATCTACCCTCTGCCTATACGTTAAATAATAATTAAGAATATAATAGTGAAACATTAAGTCAAATACTAAATGATTAACATTCTGTCATATTAACCATTAATTTGTGTCATTTTACCTTCAAGTTTCTGACGCGTAACTGTTTGTGTCAAAAATATAGGACATTAAATCGTGTTAGATCACGGCTTAGGAAAAAACAAGTCATTAGCAAATTAACAATACACCGAGTGTAGTTAGTTGTATTTTCCAAGAGTTGATTGCCTAGGAGTTGTGCGTAATTCATGTTTCTCATAATGCTTAGTTTAATCATTTAATAAACAATAATATGTGTTACATGAATGAGTTGACTTTTGGTTTAGTCGTGTCTTTTTTAGATATGATTTTATGGAAATCGAATTTGATTCCCTGCTCATAGTTTCTTATTGCGGTTAATCAACGTAAAATTAAATGTCACCGTAAAAGTCGGACGTGACAGAAAATCATGTAAGCTTCATCGGTCGCTGTTTTGTTTCAAATGACAGACGTGTTTTGTCAAGCTGCTTCGTCTCGGTCGGACGACCGTATGTATGTCATTTAGGTCATGTAGACTGTTATCGAAAAGATAGGGTGAGCGATAGCAAAAATTACGTTGACAGTGGGGGGGGGGTTAGCACAGCGTTAGTAAAATACCGCCACAGAAAACTCAATGTCAGTTTCAATGCTTCTTTTATCCGATTCTCATCAANCGGGGGGGGGGGGGGGGTTAGCACAGCGTTAGTAAAATACCGCCACAGAAAACTCAATGTCAGTTTCAATGCTTCTTTTATCCGATTCTCATCAAACGTGATCTCGTATATTATACACGACAGTTTGTCAAACGCTTTTCGAGAAACGGTCATTCGCCTTTTGGTCGAAAAACCAATTGGATACAGTCGGTCGATTAGAATGTATCTTGTTCTGTAAGATATTTCGATACCTTTGTGACGTTTAAATTTACTATACAGGCGGCCTTATAAGTAAAAATTTACACGGAGAAAGAGAAATGAAAACGATTTCAAAGGCGACCCTTAAGCAACACCAGGCGCACGTCAACGCGAGCCGTCGGGTGTTGGCTGCAATAAGATTTACGGCTCATTGTGCATTGTGCGAATCGTTATTGAATCGAACGGCAATGGTGATAACAGCGCACGGGCAGACATGTCTTGTAGAAACACAGTTGTAATTGTTGTAGCAGCGGCAACACATCGTTCGTTGCAATAGCATTCATAGAATGTGGAGATGGCTATCGCTAATGGGTAGTAAAGTTCTCCTTTATTGGCGTAATACCGGGTGCCTCATTAACCGGATAGTGTCCTCTTATCTCCGGGAAGGATGTTGCTTGCCGACAACGCGTTACCCCTCTTCTGTCGATCCAGTGTATCTGCCATGAAAAAAAAGCTCTTTATCAGATACATGCGGTCGTACGGACTGCTTGATCATGTAGAAAATGCGCTTATCTAGTCGCTGGCCATCATCTCTGCGATAGAACATACTCGTACACACGTATAATACTATTACATACAATACACCATTGTTCCGGTAAAGAGTATTAGTTTTTTTTTTTTTTCTATACTTGTAGCTTTTATCCCGAGTTTCTTTTCTATACTTCTGTCCCAGGTCGTATCCAACGAGTACAGTTTCGCTTTGACCCTAATCTATTATCGCCGTTTCGTTATGTTGTCGTACAAAATCATCATCACGCCCACACATCCGAGGGCTATAAAACCGCGTTTGACCGTTGTATATATGACTAACGAACGCGCTCGTTACTGTTTATTGAATGTTGTTGTCGTTATTGTGTACACATTTAATGATTAAGCGAAATAAGACCCGAATGACCCGACGCTATGTAGTAGACATAATAGACGGTCGACGATTAATTTAAACCGCGAAATTCGAGACCAATGAAAACCCCTTTGACGTGCAAGTGAACGAACGCGTTTGAAATTCCCCACATTGTAACAAGCCAGTCCTTCTTTAAGATATTCTATGTTTGACGTTATATTTTCTTCGGTTGTTGTTTTGTTGTCTGATCATTGCAATCGGAGGATTGCTCTTTGGAACTTTTAATCGAATGATTCTTAGATTACATCATTTGTGTTTCTGATTAAGGACATTAAAAAAGTACACGGATTCATGTTGATATTATTGCTGCGGTCTACTGCATATAGACTGGCGGTACCGTTTCAATTAATCCTAGTTGTTTGTGCTCCTCTTATGACCATAATGATTGTTTTTCACGTACAGAAATTTTGCTTGTCATTTCCACAGGAACGATAAAAACACAATTAGAATCGCAGTCGAGTTGTAACGTCGTCGTTTTCTACAACTAACATCGTTCGCATGCTCGTTATTGGAATCGCTGTTATTTCCAGATTGTTATTATCTGATACCCTCAGGTACACTAGTACGGATTGCTTAAATATTGAGGCGAGTTTTCGAACCGCTCAAACGAAACATGTTAAAATGTTATTGAGTTTTCACTGCATCTACGGCGCTAACGATTAACGTTGTCGTCTGAAATGCTGTTCACTGCAAAAACGCAGAGACATTCAATATAACAATATATGTCGGGGTACGTCTTTAGTATGCGCGTATCGTAGGAAGACACTGCAAACTGGTCCTGTCCCACACGAAGCTTATGTACACTTAAAAGGGAGCAACCAACTGGAAAGAGGCAACGCCGAGAAAAACGTTATTGAAAAAAAGCGTTACCGATCCGACCGGATTCCGGTATGGTTTTTTCCCATTCAACCATCGGTGGTTCGGCTTACACATACACATGAGTGTGATTATGTATGTGTTTAGAATGTACGTGTATTCCTTTTCAGTCGGTCAATAAGCATTTCTACAAATCAACGGACGAATGAGTCTGACAGACATTAGGACGACATCGCACGGTTACGTGTGGATTGCCTTTTATAAAGTTGGCGCGCGAGTCTCTCCCGCCGATGATTGACACAAGACAAAGCGTATAAAACTGGTCGTTGGCGATTCAATGTGACCGACCGTCGTTGGTACACTAGATGTCTAGGCGACGGGTTGGACTCTCGCACTTGTCGTCGCACATAATGTGTATATATTACTTATTATCGACGTTGTATATGTACATAGTCTCCGCGGCGTGTGTAATATAACGCTGCTGGTGTAGATGTTCATAAATTTTAATGTACTGACTATATGCGACGCGCAATAGGCGTTATTTACACCTCGCGCGTTCGACGACATATATCATTCGGACACTCGCAACTATCGGCTGGTATATTTCTCCCTTTTCCACTGTCGTCCACCTGTTTCTCTGTACATACAAACTTAACAACAAAAAAGCACGTTTGCGCGCCGCCGTGTTTTCTGCACTTCTACATTGAGAAATGCAAGCGACTTAGTACCTCGCATATCAATGTGTCCAAGTCATTTACAATATTTTTTTATATTATTATTATGTATTCGACACTGTTACATTGGGTTGTAGTAAGAGTTCCGAGCAAAGTTACATTATGTCGTTTGACACAGTCGGCGTTTGGCACGGTCGTGAGCGTTTTCTTTTCGTTATGTCTTGTCTTCGTTATCATCTACATTATATACACACCTGATAGTCAATAGGATAACGGACCTGAATTATATATTGTGACACCTCAACATTACCGGCAATAACAATATTGTTAACTCGTGTCTTTCCAGCAACAGGTACACGATATTGTGTGAAGTGGTCGGAAAAACTATAATATTATTAATGAGCTTTGCACAGTCACGAGAGCGCCGAGTTTATTTTATTCGTTAATAATTCGAGTAAACATTTTCGAATGAGACTTATATAATAAAATTAAGAATTGAAATGTTCATTGCAAAGGCATTGTCTATTTTTTTTTTTATTATTATTCCACGACGATCTCAAATGATATTTCTCTATCAAATATGTTCGTAATCGTTTTGTTTAGTTCCTTTTATACATTTTAAGGTTAAAAGTGATTGTAAAGGAAACCATCAATATGAATGTTTTTCAATTATCCAAGTCGTAGAATGTCAAACAATACGGAACCTTATTTTAACTGTTTTCCGCCAGCTGTGTTGTAAAGGTTTGCGATACAGAATTGTAGTAAACGTGTTTTTTTCTAACGTTCCCACCGTTATATATTTAACTACCAGAAGGCTTACATATTTGTTTTTATTTTACAATTTAAAAAACTATCTAGTACGAATGATGCAATTAAATGAACATATGGTATCGTATTAGTTGGTTAAAAGATGAAAGGTCTGAGATGATTTCCTCTCTAAATCATTTTCAAATAAAACCCTAGCTTCAGTTAAATGACAAAATGTATTTTTTTATATGGCTGACATTTATAATTTGACTTTTTATTTAAATCCAATGAATCACTCCAGAATATGTTCTATTTATACATTAGCTGCTTCTGTATTGAAGGTCTATTTACCTCTTCACATTTTCGGTGTAGTTCAATTCTATTTACTTATTTAGAAAATATGCATGTAGAATATATATATTTATAAAAAAACTAAATTATTACATTAATAATTGTATGGGAAAATACGCTGTCCATTTAATTATTACTCATGGCTAAACAACTTAACAATTCATTAATTAATCAAACTTATAGGTTTGAGAATTCTGTATTGGTTTTATAAGTAGAAATATCACGCGTATTTTATTAGAATTAATTAAGTTTTACGTTTTCGGTTAGAGTTGAAAAAAATATACGTGTATTACGAACATGAGTGAATCTATTGCAAAGATCCTTGTCGCATCCAAATCTGGTGACAGTTAGTCTATACGCATTGCTAGACGTTGCTAGTTGATAATTAATTTTGTTTATAAACAATTAAAAAAAACCAGATTGTCAACCTTTAATTACCAAACGTGGAACTCGATCCTGTAAACTCCTTGGAATTATTCATTTCCCACACATGTACACACGCTTGTACACCTGTTATATGTGTGCACTATATTCATAACATACGATAATGATATGTGACCTAAATTTTTAATCTAAAACGTGGTTATAATTATTATTGCTTAATACTATCTCCATATCATGAGAATTGCATAGTTACTCTGCAGTATAACGTTTATCCCTTATTTTATTTTATTTTTTTTTTTTTTTACAGGATTCGCTGGTACTCAATGCGAAATTGACGTAGACGAATGCGAAACCAACCCATGCGAAAATGGTGGCCTATGCACTGACATGATCAATGGATATAAATGTTCTTGTCCAGCTGGGTTTTCTGGTCCAAGATGCCAAATCAACATTGACGACTGCGTGAGCAACCCATGTCGTCATAGTGGTATATGCCATGACTCTATCGCGGGTTACCAATGTGAATGCTCTCCGGGTTTCACTGGTTTTAATTGCGAACACAATATTAATGACTGCTTGTCAAACCCTTGCAAACATGGCGAATGCATTGATGGACAGAATTCATTTACTTGTTCTTGCCATCCCGGCTATACAGGTTTATTATGTCAAGATCAATTGGACGAATGTGCTTCTGCACCATGTCAGCACGGGGGTACTTGCGAGGATTTGATTAACGGTTATCAGTGTCGATGTCGGGCTGGTACATCAGGTTCCAATTGTGAAATAAACATAAATGAATGCGTTTCTAATCCGTGTAGAAACGGTGCTAAATGCATCGACGGAATCAACAAGTAATATTAATGCTTTTAAATTATTGCTGAGCTAAATTTTGTCTAATTTTACAAACTTTTTGCAGATACTCTTGCGATTGCCTACCTGGATTTACTGGTTTACACTGTGAAATGAATGTAGATGAATGTGCTAGTAGTCCCTGTGCCAATGGTGGAAGTTGCGTAGATTTAGTAGCTGGTTGGCGTTGTGAATGTCCTCGTGGATATTATGGTCCTCGATGCTTATCCGACATAGATGAATGCGCTAGTAATCCATGTTCTCTAAACGCTTTGCGTTGTGAAGATGGATTGAACCAGTTTATATGCCACTGTAGACCAGGGTATACTGGAAAACGTTGTGAATTCGATATTGATGAGTGTAGCTCAAACCCTTGTCAACATGGAGGTGTTTGCACAGACCGTGTCAACGGTTATACATGCCAATGTAAACCGGGTTACTCCGGACATAACTGCGATATTAACATTGATGATTGTGCAATTAATCCGTGCAAAAATGGTGGTTCGTGTATAGATTTAGTAAATTCTTACAAATGTGTATGTCAACTTCCATTTAGTGGACCAGAATGTCAAAGTCGTTTAGACCCTTGCACACCAAATAGGTATACTTTTAGCCAAACATTTTTTTTTGCATGTTATTGTTCACACGTTTTAAAACTATTATTTTGATTAATTTAGATGTCGTAATGGTGCTAAATGTTCTCCGTCGAGCAATTATTTGGACTTTACTTGTGAATGTTCAATTGGCTGGAAAGGTCGATTATGTAACGAAGATGTGGATGAATGTGCTTTAACAGCTCCATGTCGAAACGGTGCAACTTGTATAAATACTGATGGATCTTATAAGTGTGCATGTGCGCCTGGTTTCCAAGGTCGGGATTGTGTTATTAATACTGACGAATGTGCTTCTTGTGAGTATACGACTAAAGTTATGGATTGTCATATAATATTTGTTATTGATACTAATTATTATTATAAAACTTTAGCTCCTTGTCAAAATGGAGCCACTTGTTTAGATGGTATTGGTGATTATTCATGTATGTGTTCGGATGGTTTTTCGGGTCGACATTGCGAAGTAGATAATGACGAATGTCTCTCTCAACCATGTCTGAATGGAGCAACGTGTAAACAGTATGTTAATTCATACACTTGTACTTGCCCTGTAGGATTTTCAGGTATTCACTGTCAAACCAATGACCAAGACTGTACTGATTCGTCTTGTATGAATGGTGCAACTTGTGTGGATGGAATTAATAATTATACATGTATATGTCCACTTGGGTAAGAAGAAACTTTAACTTTTTTTTAGTATGAAATAAATGACTTATTTTGTTCTGCAGATATAATGGCCTTAATTGTCAAACCCGAATCAACGAATGTGACTCTTCACCTTGTGAAAACAGTGGTACTTGTTTGGACCATGGAAAATATTATTCATGTCACTGTGCTTATGGGTACACTGGTAAAAACTGTGAATTGTTGGTAGATTGGTGTAATGGTGGTGGTGGAATACCTGAGCCATGTGAGAATGGAGCTACGTGTAAACAAATGCAAAATACTTACCAATGTGTTTGTCAACCTGGTTGGACTGGAAAAGTGTGTGATGTTGAAATGGTATCTTGTAAAGATGCTGCTTTCAGAAAGGGCGTACGACGTGATGCTTTATGTCATAATGGTGGAATATGTGAAGATATTGGTAACAGTCATCGCTGCCATTGTGCTGATGGATACTCGGGAAGTTATTGTACAAAAGAAATAAATGAATGTGACTCTGCACCTTGTCAAAATGGAGCTACTTGTAAAGATTTAGTGGCTGGATATTCTTGTCAATGTTCTCGTGGTTTCCAGGGGCAAAATTGTGAATTAAATGTTGATGACTGTCATCCAAATCCTTGTCAAAATGGAGGAACGTGTAGAGATCTTATAAATGGATTTAGTTGCTCTTGTCCTCCTGGAACTTTGGGTATTATTTGTGATATTAATATTGATGATTGTACACCAGACGCTTGTCATAATAATGGAACTTGCGTTGATAAAGTGGGAGGCTTTGACTGTCATTGCCCAGCAGGTTTTGTGGGTCATCGATGTGAAGGAGATATAAATGAATGTTTATCTAATCCATGTGATCCATTTGGAACATTAGACTGCGTGCAACTTGTGAATAATTACCATTGTAATTGCCGAGGAGGTTATATGGGAAGGCACTGTGAAACAAAAGTTAATTTCTGTGAAAGCAGTCCTTGTCAAAATGGTGGTGTTTGTACCCAAGTAGAAGGTGGGCACACATGTGCTTGTCCAAAAGAATTTTCTGGTAGAAACTGCGAGTTCTTTGGTGTTGACTGTGATTCTAGTCCTTGTCAAGGTGATGGAATATGTCATTCATTAGAGCATGGAGGATATCGTTGTGAATGTCCTTTAGGAACAACAGGAACTCATTGTGAAATTGACAGTTACAATGAATGTGATAGCAATCCATGTGAACATGATGGTACATGTCAGAATAAACTTGGTGATTATGCATGCTTCTGTCCACAATATTGGTCTGGAAAGAACTGCAATATGTACGATTCAAAATTTAAAGGTGGACTTGGAAAATTTTCTACAAAAGGCATTACGCTGAAGAAAGATTATGATTGGGAACGCGAATTAACAAGTTGCGTGACAAATGGATGTCAGGCAAAATCTCAGGACAATAAATGCCATCCAGAGTGTAATACTGCTGCATGTGATTTTGATGGAGGTGACTGTTCTCTTGGTTTAAATCCATGGAGGAATTGTACAGCAACAAAGAAATGTTGGCAAGTATTTGCTGATGGACGATGTGATGTTGAATGTAATACAATGGAATGTTTGTATGATGGTAGAGACTGTGAAAAAACTATTTTACCTTGCAAGTAAGTCATTAACAAAAATACTACTTATATAATTAAATATAGTTATTTAGACAGATGCAGTATTTATAATTATTCATTATTTTTAGCCCAATTTATGATGCATACTGTCAAAGTCATTATGCTGATGGTCATTGTGATTATGGTTGTAACAATGCAGAATGTAATTGGGATGGTTTAGACTGTGAAAGAGAACCACCCAAAATTGCTGAAGGTGCAATGCGATTAGTTTTGAGGATGGACTACCATCAATTGACCTCTAATATTACTTCGTTTTTGAGAGATGTATGTTTATAAACGTCTACATTTTTTAAACCTAGAATTGTTTACAATGTATTTATTACATAATTTTATTTCTTTATAGATTGGCCGTGAAATACGAGCAACTGTACGTGTAAAACAAGATAGTTTGACAGGTAAACAAATGATTTTCCCAGCGGAAAGTCCTCCTGGAGCTGTTGTTATATATTTAGAAATTGATAACAGAAAATGTGAAATTACCAGAGATATTGAATGTTTTTCAAGTGCTACAGGGGTAAGTTATAAAACATGATAAAATATGATTTAATTAAGTTTTAATAAATTTTATCTTGAAAATTTTAGGCTGCAGAATTTTTAGCAGCATCAGCAGTTAGCCATGCTTTGTCGACATCTTTCCCTATTTATAGAGCCGAAGGTGTTAACCCTGGCAGTCAAATACCTACTGAACAGCCAAGAAGTAGCACAGCTCTTGTTTTAACTGGAATGTTCTTAATATTAGTAGTTGGACTTAGTCTGGGTGTATTAATTTCAACTCATCGTAAAAAAGCAGCTGGAATAACATGGTTCCCTGAAGGATTTTTACGAACTGGAAGTAACAGTAGCAGAACTAGTACACAGAGACGTGTTCCTGATGGCCAAGAACTTAGAACTATGAAACAGAATAACGTAACTCTTAGTTGTATGGATATGAGTAATGGGGGAATGACAATAGGTCGTGGAGCTGGGGCTTGGTCTGATGAAGATGCTGAAGGTGATATGCCACCTGCAAAACGACATAGACCTGCTCCTATTATATCATCACAGCCTCTAGATAATCCGTATGACGATGTTTGGAGCCACTGTAACTTAAATTCAAATGATAACAAAGCGACTGTTATGTATACTCCTCCATCAAGGGTAAACTATTTTAGTTTCTCAAGCCCACATTGGTTATAGTAAATAGATTTATATTTTATATTTATTTTTTATTTATTTTTATTTAGGAAACTGAAGTTAATGAAAGACTCCCTGGTGGTTTAACCAGATTAATGGATGTGACAGTTGCGGGATGTGCTGGATTGGATACAAGCATTGATAATGAAGATGAAGATGGACAAGATGCAACTACTAATATGATATCTGAATTAGTTTCTCAAGGCGCTGAGTTAAATGCAACTCTTGAAAAAACTGGAGAGACTTCACTTCATTTGGCTGCAAGGTATGCTCGTGCAGATGCTGCTAAACGTTTGTTGGATATGGGAGCTGATGTTAATTTCCAAGACAAAACAGGTCGAACCCCACTACATGCAGCTGTAGCTGCTGATGCTATGGGTGCTTTCCAAGTAAGTTAAATTTTTCAATAGTTTTGAATATTATAAAAATAATTTAATTGTTAAACAAATAAATAACTTAATAACGTCTACTTTCTAGATATTGCTAAGAAATCGTTCAACCAACCTTAATGCTAGAATGCATGATGGAACTACTCCTTTGATATTAGCAGCTAGACTGGCTATTGAAGGAATGGTTGAGGACTTAATACATGCTGATGCTGACATAAACATTCCAGATAATAGTGGAAAGACAGCTTTACATTGGGCTGCATCTGTAAATAATGTTGATGCTGTAAATATACTGTTAGCCAATAATGCTAATAAAGATGCTCAAGATGATAAGGTTAATATAAATTTTCAGTATTTTCCTTTGAATAAATAAAATATTAAATCAATAAAATTTCAGTTATCTTTAAAATAAATACTTAAACACTTCATTTATTTAATATTAATTACAGGATGAAACACCATTATTCCTGGCTGCACGAGAAGGAAGCTATGAAGCATGTAAGGCATTACTGGATAATTTTGCTAATCGTGAGATTGCTGATCATATGGAACGACTTCCGAGAGATGTTGCTAGTGAACGATTACATCATGATATTATTCGACTTTTGGATTCGCATATAGCACATCCCAATTCTCAAACAATGGTTCCTGTTAATAATAATTTCATGAGTAAGTATTTATTTAACCTAAATTAGTAAAATTACAAAATTAAGCTAAACATAGATCTATTTACAGATTCTCAACATATATTGTCTCATTCTAATATTAATATTCCGGGTATCAAATTAAGCAATAATGGTACAACTAAGGGCAAAAAGAGACCAAAACCTTCTAATCCTACGAGCCCTGCTGACTCGATGGATTCAAGTATATCCATTAAACGCAAAGGTAGTGTTAAAAAACAACCTCCACCTCCACCACCACCTTTGTCGTCTACTGCTGCTGCACCAAGCAATAAGAAACCATTTGGTTTAGATGTTTATGGTGGAACAAACAATATTGACTTAATGGCATTAGATGTATCAAGACTGTATGGAAATGGTCTTTCATCTCAACCTCCAGCTTATGAGGAATGTTTATCTCAACCACAGAGAATGTCTAATTATGGTGTAGCTATGCAACAACAGCAACAACAACAACCAGACTACAGAGCTATTCATCAACAGTTACTTGGCATGCAAACCTTTCAAGAGCCTTCACCACCTCATAGTGTTGTTATGTCTCCTTCGCCAGGTAAAACTAGGCCATCTTTGCCTACATCACCTACTCATATGCAAGCCTTAAGGCATGCCACAATGCAAGCAGTTGATCCATTCAGTCAATTCCACCACTATTATGGAACACAACAGTCATCACTACAGCCTTCTGCACCACAACATCCTCAACAGTATCTAACACCACCTTCAGATGTAGCACCTGAGAGTTACCCAACCCCATCACCTGATTCCCCATGGCATTGGTCATCATCGTCCCCTAATTCCAATTCAGATTGGTCGGAAGGTATTTCATCACCACCCAATAATAATAACAACAACAGTCATCCAAACAAAGTTTCAGATGCTGTTTATATTTAATTCTTGTTATTACCAAATATATACATTTTGTCTTTCCACTTAATTCATGATGACACATATAATTATTATACTAATAGGTATACTTTATTACCACACAAAAGGCTAAGAAATAAATTTGTGCCATCAAGTAGTAGAATGTTTTGGGATATTTAATAAGACTAAAATTCTTATAAAGTTAGATAGTGGTATTTCAATCATTATTTTTATTAAATATCGAAATATAGTTATATTATTTTAGCTCTGCTATATTGAAATGCAAATTGTTTACCACTTTCTGTTTTTTATAAGTTAATATAAATTTTTAAAATTTAATTTTTATTATTTATGTGAAATCCTGATGTTTTACAATTTCAAATTTAAAAACATAATTTATGTTATGTTGATGGATTATCCTTTTTCTTGGTTCATTCTTAAGTTGTTTAAAGTACAGATTTTATTTACAAACATATATTTATATTATATATTAATGTACATGATTATTATTGTATATGAATACCATTTTCCACAAAAAACCCCTTTTTTGCCGTGTTAATTACGGTGTCTACCAATCTTTACTATTTGTATTATTTTATTATTATTTATTATTATTTTTATTATTATTATTATTATTACTTTTTTTTGTTCTTTTAAATTTGTCTCGTTGTCTTGTCGAGAAAATGACTATATCGAACAATCATATAATTATATACTAGACTTATTCGGTGGTTAAGCAAAACAACAAGACTGCTAATATTGTAAATTTGTTTGTATAAATCATTTTTTAACTAAGGGATTGTTCGTTCACGATCTCAACACATGACATTTAGTTATAAATATTGTTATTGAAATATTATTGTAAATTATTATTTTCTATTTTTAATTTTATATATTGTACAAATAGTAATAATAAAATTTCATCATAAATTTGTAGCATAATTTGTAATTCACTTTAAATTTGTAAGATATATATATAATTATTGAATTTTATTAAAAATTATTTTGTAAACAGTAGAAAATGTTTATGGATCTAACTTTTGTTCTGTGATTCAAATTTAGTGTAAATTTATCATTGTCTGTACATTAAAAGGCAAAACATTGTCATATAATTGGTTTATATATTTTGAAAACTACATGCATTAAGAATTTTTAAAAATATGTTTAATAATAAATAAAAATATAATTTACATTTATTATTAAATTGAGATTTTATTGAAAATATGAATTTAACTATCATCAATTAATGAGAATGTGGAATTTTATTTTGCTCAATATTATATCATCAAGTTGTTGGTATAACTATAAAAAGTATTTGAAAAAATTAAAATCATTTTTTATTCATAGACACTGAAGTTAAATGAGTATACAGTTCATAGTTTTTGGCAAATCACCGAAGTTTTATGTAAACAAAAAACAATTTTTTTTTAATATTTCATGAATACAAATTAGACGACTAAAATAACTAAAACTAAAACTGAAATTTTTAATTTAATTTTTGAATTTGCAAAATGTATCTATAATTTTTTTTATTGGTTAATAAATATTTTGGAAAAATATTTTTAAAATCAAATCAGACCGTGTTTCGTGTCCATAGAACCGCAAAGTGGTAATATTTTTGCATATGTCGCGATCCCTAAGTCAAAATAAAATCCCACTCTGGGATCCGGCTAACGGGGGAGGCCACACCATGTTGTGAAACAGCTCTTGATTAAATTCGGTCTCATTCACAACGTGGTGGTGTGAGTTTTAAAGACGGCGTGGGCCGCCCTAAAGTAATACCTCACGGTAGTTCTAGGGTGGTCCACACTTATACCGGTCGCGGGAAAAAAAAAGGGTTTAAGGCCCAGGTGAATGCGCATGTAAGTCTAAATTTTCATTTTAAATAAATTTTCAATACATTTAGTAATTATTTTTTGTTTCTGGAAGATCTATACCCTTCAGTCCTCCTAATCTATACTATAAGTACAAAATTGAAATATATAGAAACCCTCACAAATATATTTTTTGGATAAGCAAAAATAACAAAATAATTAAGACTTTATTGAAATTAATTAACGTTGTTAATTATTAAACAATATTAATAAATCATAATAAATTTTGAAATTTACTTAAATTTTGTAAAAAAAAATATTACTTTTTTTATATTTTTACCTTCCACCAAGTTTTTATCATGAGTATTGCTCATACTTATTTCAAAAATATATACAATGTATTTTTCGATAAATTTATGCATTTTAGAATAAATACTATAAAATCAACTATACAACTGAAACGATTAAATTTAAATAGTATTATTTTTTAAAAATTCTAACATAGTATACAATTAATACTGAACGTCTTAAAACTTTTGTCAATTGATGAAAAAAAATTTATTTGTTTTAGTCTTTTTTTAATTAATTAAATTATAATTTTTTTTTTTTTTTTGTAACTTGATTCAAATTAATAACCTGAATAGATTGTCTACTAAACCTGTTTAGTTCTCTCAAATAGGTTTTAATAGAATTTGTAGTTTACAAGATAAGTGGTAAAGTAATAATAGGATTGAGTATATGACATATTGTTTAATTCTTTAACACTAAAAATAATTATCAGATATCATTTGAAATTAATAAATCACATTTCAATATACATATATCAATTTAAATTTTTATGTTAAAATTTGTAATAAAATAAATAAAAAAAACTAAAAATATGCGGGGTAATAGATAAAAAAATATATTAATTATATAACTTGAATAATTATAAATTAACATGATAAAATAACAGGGAATGTAATAAAGTAGTAAAATGATCTCGGGGTTGAATAATAATGAATGACTGATATTTAGAATTCTTATTAAATTTTCTATTCTTCTCTAAAAAATAATTACTTTAAAAATTCCTCTGGCCTAGATAGAACTAGATAGAAAAATATTTGTATGTATGTATAAATTTTATCAAGGCGATATTGAGGTGCCTCATTTTGAAGGGATGCTGAGCAAACATTATTGTACCACATAATCAAATAAAAAAAAAACATTAAAAATATTTCTATTATTTTTAGTCGTTTGCAGAAGCGGTGTTCGTTATAGCAAAAACAGTGAGCTTGAGACTATTACCGAATAAGAAAAACCCACAATTGATTGTTAATATAAAATAAACATTTTAAGTTGGATTAGATTTGTCATTAATAAGGGCCAGATTTAAATGCATTTATAAAATTTAGTTTAAGCTATTGAAAGATCCCAAATTTGTGTAAGTTTGTCTTCTTACACTCATATTTTAAAAAATTAGTAACTTCCAAAATAATGTGTTAAAAACTGTTATCGATTATCCATATTTTTAATTAGATCATCTTTCATTTTATAAGGTAATTAACTATGTATACTCTAATTTAAAAATATGAAGCCGAAACTCTTTGATAACTTTTTATTTTTAATAAAAATAAAACTATTTTTTTTGAAATAAGACAATTGCAAGTTCCATTTTAAAATTTTAATAATATTTTTAATTTTGAAAATAAATTTATTTTTACAAAATTTCAAACTAATAACAGTTAAAAAATTGTTTAATAAAAATAATGATGACAAAATTATGATCTAATAATTTGATAAAAAAATAAAAGGTTTTCATATTTTCCAAACACATCGTATACAGTATACATTCGTTTTTATATCATCTCTAAAACCACCTATACCTATATACCTTAAATTAATATGACCAAAATATAATAATTGGCAATAACCGATGTATTACTATAAGTAACACATCATAAACGCTACAATTAGCTACCTGTATTTATAGTCCCGCTTATTATGTACATGTATATAATCTTGAGAAATAGAAATTTTAAAGTGTTATAACAAACAAATTAATAAATTTAAATAAAAAATTCAAATGTTAATAATTAAAAAAAAAAAAACACTATCAATTTATCAAACTAAAAATATATTTCCGTTTTAAAAAACAGTGGATAACTAAAAAAATCTAAAAAAAAAAATTTTCAAAATTATTATTATATTGAAAAATACTGACTGGCAATTGTTAAAAGAATCACTTTGTATATATACTAGGTGATCGGTATATCATAAACCACTCCGTTTACTCTCAAAATAAATACAATATTAGAAAAAGAATGCCTTCATTATATTTAACTTAACTGGAGTAATAATTTTTTTTCAATTATTGTATTTATTTTAAAAGTAATTGAGTGGTTTATGATAAATTGATCAATCTGCGTATTTATAAATATGATATAACACTAACAGGGAAACTCGAAATTAAGGATGAAATTTTCAATAATTTTAGGTGATTTGAGTGATATTTATAAACTCTGATTAACTTCTCGCTGCACTGCTGACGTGGTTACGTCTCTAAAACGGAACATATAAATTTTTATTAAACTAGTCAGAGTAGTGCGGCAACGCCACAATAAATAATTCATTAATATTTTATAATGATCTAGTATCAGCAGTAAGTTCTAATGATAGTATTGATGCTACGTATACAGATCTTAAAAAAACTTTCGATAGTATGAACCACTCTATTTTATTCAGAAATTAAAATGATATGTTGTAAAAATTCAGTTTTATAATGGTTTTGTCGAATAAAAAACAATAAGACAAATTTGAAAAGTATATTTCTAAAATAATAAATGTAACATTGGGAGTACCTCGTCTTTGATATTGATTCTTTTTTTCAATGATTTGTGTAAGAGATTTAACCAAATGTTAATAAAATAACTCATTTCGGTTGGTTATAAAAATATAATTTAAATATTGGCTAAAAACAATCTATTATGATCATAAACATGAGAATAAAAAGCAATTGTAACTTAGTGACCGAAATCAGTTATTTTATTAAACAAATTTAATAATTGTTAGCTTATCATTAAAAATATTTTGTTATATTAATTGGCTTATATAAAAAGTAAACAAGACTTTTTGGCCAACGATAAATAACGTTGCTAAAATAATTTTTTTTCAATATGTATAAGTCGAAAAAATATAATTTAAATATTGGCTGAAAACAATCTATTATGGTGGTCGTTAAATAACATATTTATTTTTGAAATAATGAAAATTTGTTTTAGCAACGTTATTTGTTGTTGGCCAAAAAAATTAGTATAAAAGATCGAGTAAACTAAAAATTCATTGGGACTTTTAGTCTAACCAGCGAACGAAGAACATACAAGCTCTTGTTGAAGCCAAACTAGTCTATTAGTCTCTAGTCTATTAGTATCAGTCACGTCGAAATCAAAATTCAAAAATCTTGAAATCAACGCGACATTCGCAAGTCGAACATATTGACTATTTCCGAAAACAGCCGTCAAATTCATTTGCGATATTATTGAATATAATTATGGCACCGTTAGAAAGAGGTGATAGGATTGTTATAAGGTATTATGACTACATGCAAAATTTAACAGTTACCAAAGTAAATGACAAAAATCTTGAACAGCCCGAAGAGTATCGCGTTAAACTTCAAAGAATATGTGGGAAATTTTTCGACACGTCCTCGATGAATATCCTTACCAATGTTATCAAAAAGAAAGAAGTATTTAACATCGTAAGTGAAAAATATGTGTAAATAGCATAATTATTTATACTTATAATTTTTAAGGCATGTATTGACAAAAATGAACTTGTATTGATATATTCAACATCTAAAAAAAGTCTAAACACTCAGATTTGGAATGCTGAGAATTTGAAAGCCAAAGACGTCGGCAATAGATATGAAAAGAATTATACAAAGAAGAATGCGTACAAACCTGGACTTAAACCGAATAATTATGCAACATATAACGCTAAACGTTATCCAGTGAACAACGAAAAACTATATTCGGCCCAGGATAGACTTATGAAATACCGGAAAACTGAAGAACCACAAATTGTACACGAATCAAATAAATTCAAACAAACCGAAAATAGACAACAATACAAAACCAATAATACACGTTATTCAGCTCAAGACCGACTTAAACAGTACAAGGACACCGTTACTCCGAGAGAAACGCAGCCTAAACAGTGTGGCACAAAGAACACAGATATGAACCGATATGAAGTTAAAGTAAAATACTGCAAAGAACGAAATCTTAGCACTGACATAACAACAAAAGACCTATGTACTAAGAAACCAACATTAAAACTAGGCGAGATGCAAAAAGTTAGTTATTTATAATTATCATACATACAATCTTTTATTACTATAATTTTTCCACAGATAATGATAGTTCAAAAACGAACGAAGACATGTTATCTTGTACACACGATGGAGAGTAGAAAGTCTGTTATCACCTTGTGCGAAAATCTACGCAAAATTGAAAATAACTTGAGACGTATTCAAAAAGTTGAGAAGTACGACATGTACTTGATATTTTTTGGCGCTGAATGGTACCGTGGGAAAATTATGGACGAGACGAATGATGGTTTGTTAAAAATTTACTTGCTTGACATATGATGTTGTTTAACTGAAAAGAAGTCTATGAGATGTCAAAGCACTTTGAAGGAGAGTCTTTATTAATTGAAATTGTCGTAACACCTCCGCCAAAAGAAATGTTAACTACTGTTTATGCTAACATAGAAGCAATAAAAACTATTGGACTGAGTACGGTGGTGAAACTGATTTGATTATAAAATACTATACAACCTTATAACTCCTATTCATTTGCATTCAACTGGCAAATGTATATATTCCTTAACGTTGTTAATGGAAGTTTGTGCGCTGTCAATGATATCCTTTTATATTATATATATTTTTTAGTTTCGATGCGAAGCTGAAAAGGTATTGGTTTTACTATGATGTGTTTTTTTTTTATTTTTTTTTTTTTTTTATAGATGCTTGATGTCTTTACTTATCATTTGGTATATTTTTTTTGTAAATATGACCTTTTTTCTGCCCACAGGGGTGGATTTAAAATGACAACTTTTTCAACTTAACTTAGGTCTGACGCTTTTATATATACCTTAAATTAAAGCTAATGTAATGTACTTTTATTTAAAAAAAAAAAATTTGACCTCTGGACTTGTCTTCATGGTGAAAACGGCTACCGAATGCTATTTTTGTGTGAAAATTTTCGATTTTATTATTTATATTATATTTAACTTTATAATGCTATAACTTATTGAAAAGTTTATGGATCCACACAATTTTTTTATGAGAAATAATATTTTTTAATAAACCTTTTTTCATTCGACATACTTTATCTTAATCGAGATATTAATAAGGAACCAGCAGATCAAGTAGCTTTTGGAATAAAACACCAATTTTTTTAAAATTAAACACTATCTAAAGATTTGCATCGAAGCGTTTATTTTTGATAGTGATTTTAATCACTGTCAGATATCATTATACTTGATCCAACTATGCCACGTCACCACTGTGCCGCGACCCCCCTGTGCTGGGTTTTTTCATAACGTTTATTATGAACTGTTTGCCTTTTCATAACCAATCATTTTATTGCTTTATTAATATATTTGTTTGTTGTTACATTATTTAATTTTTAGTTATATTCTTAGATTTTTTTGTTCAATTATCTTTATTTTTTTCTGAATTAAATATAATTCATAAAACTAATTATTATATTAATATGTCTTTGATTATATGTCTGCAATGATAATTGCTAATACTATAATAAGATGAGTTGATTATACTTAAATATTAAAATGTAATAACAAGAGAGTTGAATTTAATAAATGGGAATAATTTATTGGGAAAGAATTGCATTTGTTAATAAATGTTATAATGTTATAATGTTATAATGTTTGAATGACGTGATTCTTAAATAAGTACTCACGTATTATAACGGAAAAAGTACATTTTCATTATAGTTTAGCGCTGAACTTAGAAATAATATTGAACAAAAAATATTGCTCATAAAAACTTTAAATTATCAAATTGTTCAAATAATTATGATGTATCTTCTAATTTAAGAGTCCTTTACTTTACCACTTAAGTAATTTCACTTTAATGTCATAATAATTAATTTTAAACTCTCGATTTCTAAATATTTTTATACAAATATATGTAATAGAGTATGTGTATAAATATGTTTTATACAATAACGATTACACATTAACAAAAAATGTCTATTAACAAACGCGGTAGTGTGACTGAATAATCAAAAAAGAATTTGATAAAATATTATTTCTAACGTATAAATATTTTCTCTTTAATTACAGAATAACTGAATTCTTATGAAATAATATAATATTGTACATATTAATATATTTACTTTAATATCGTAATAATGATCACCTTATGATGAGTTTCATCATCACCTACCTTCTATGTAGAGGTAAACCGCTGATCTACTGTTTTAATACATACGTTAGTCAAGGAAAGGAGGCTCTCTATGGTCAAAGGCATACACATCGCATAGCTAAAGTTGGGTTTCGTTGGACTAATAGCCGCCGTCGCCGCTTGATTACACCTTTCACTTTTCTGCATTCAAATATTTTCACATATTTCTAAATTTATGTAATTCTCAAAATACTTCCAATTTTCTGTAATATATCAAGATATACTATATGATGTTCCATCTACCTCGGTATACTATGAATATACCAGGGTATACAATACATATATCAAGATAACTGTACAAGTCCGCATTTGTCCGAAAAAGTAGATGAGCATAAATAACACTTAAATCGCATTCCATCATGGATTTTCCTATGCCTCATCAAACAGTTTTTTGACAACGTACACTTTTTCACACTTGTCACAAGAAAGCATTTTTAAGACGTTTAACTGACACAACACTATTAATTTTACTCGAGTAATAATTCGTCTTTTATGCGAAATACTCATTAAATGTAACAAAATCAATTATAAATTCGGCGAATCGCAAAACCTAAACTCCATTCCTTCACGACTTAATCATTTTTATCTCATAATTTCTTATTAATTACAATTTAATAAGTAATTTCTAATAAACTATTCATCTTTTCATAGCCCCCCCTTCTTATGTACCCCCACATGTGGATTAACCCCCATACTTGTGATATCTACTGTCATGAGAGAGCCCCCTCTATTATACTCTGAACCTTTCATGGGAAGGCATCCCTATGCCTTTCACCATATCCCCCCCGACTGTTTCCACCTCACGTCTAACTATGGCAGGATAAACCCATATCATGTGGTTTAGGGGGGTATCCAGCTCATATATTATACAACTACTAACTTATAATAAATTAAAGGTATTCCTTTTTAAAGAAAAAATAAATAAGTTCTACCAATACCAATTACATTATACTTTTGCTTGTGCACTCCAGGTTTATAATTAAATACCATTATTATATATACAGGGTGTTCAGTAAGTCAGGAAACGGGTATCTATTGTTCTCATTGTNGAGTAGTAAATATTCTGTAGCGTTTTGAAGTTTGTGAAAATTTGAATTTTCATGTATTATTTTACGGTATTAAACATTGAAATACGTATTGATAAAAGGACAGAAGAAAACGCTATCTTTTCATGATTATTGTGTATAAATATGATGATAATGTGTATACATTACAAACTTGGCATTAATACCATGATAAGAAATTAGATAAGGCAATTATTACTTATCACTCTCATTCAAAAGTATATTGAAAAGATAAAAAATTACATTTTTTGTTCAATTTTGATGGTTATTTGTACTTAGAAGATAGGTCGTCGGGACAATTTTTTTTTTAACTTATAGTACATAATGTAAGCTTTAATTTGATATATGTATAAAGGACGCAGTATTTCCGAAACACTTTCAAAAATTGAGTTTTGTAAAAAAGTTACTATTTTAAACCCCCCCTGTTTGCCGGTTAAGTGTTAAATTTTCAAAAAAAATATGTCAAATGAAAGGAAAATATCTAAGGTTTCAATATATAAAAAAAAAATTATGTTAATTTGTTCATTTTTTATAAAGTTATGGTAGTTTTAAGAAAAAAAAAGTCAAAAATTAATGATTTATAAAATTGTAATTTTTTTGGAAATTTCCCCCATTTACGGGGAACGAAAGAAATTTTTTCAATTTTTGAGGATATGTCTTCAACTAGACACGATTTGTGATCTTTTAACGTATCGTTGAGATAAATCGGTTCGGGGAGAGCTGAGAAAAAGTAGTGACAGACAGAAAAAAAAAAAACAACATGGTAAAATTAATACCTTCTCAGCATCGCATCGAAGCTAAAAAATTCCTTAGCATAATTACAATTATAAGAAAAATCGAGTGGTTAATGTCATAAGAATCACTATATATACGGGATAATCGGTTAACAAATCGATAACTTTCAAAGTAAATACAATATTTAAATCGTATCGAAGCTAAAAAAAATTGATTTCTTTTAGTGCTTGATTTATCAGCTAATAATTACTTCTTAGAATCATCACTCAACACTTAAAAGGTTGTCAACTTTATTTTTTTTAAATAAATATAAATAAAAAAATAGGGAATTGAAAAAATGACTAGTTGATAACAACTTTTGGACCAGTACTTTGGAGTTTTTCTCATTTTTATACCTTAACGATATAAAAATAACAACGCCCACTCCTCACCTCCAGTCATCACATTAAATAATGGTCCAATATAATATTTTTCCAATATTGTATTTATTTTGCGAGTAATCGTGAGTATTATGATAAACTGATCACTCCCATCACACACACATACATATATATATATGTATGTATTTGTATTAATAATTCACCATATTTTATTAAATTAATTATGTGCTTTAGCCAATCCCGATTTAGCCTATTCTTTTTATATGTGTATCAATACGCTGATTAAAATACTTAAATAAGTAATAAAGTATACATATTTTATTATTTACATAAAATAATCTTTTAAATTTTAAAATATAAATAAAATTATTAATTATATTGATGATTTTTTTTATACATACACTTATTTAAACAAAAAATTGTCAAAAGTTACTTAGAATATATCACTTAAGTAAAAAGATGAAGAACCAAAATGCAGGTAAATAATATACTTTACATATAAAACTATAAAACAAAATTAAAGTTCATTCCCAAATATGAAGTAAATAATTTATTATACAAAATACTTTAATTAAAATGACTAAAAGATCCATAAATTGTTACCAACTAATATTCTATAATTTATTCAAGCATAAGTAATACTTGATAAGTATTTACCTTCTAGTGGCAGAAATAAATTATAAATATTTGAATGATTTCATTTTATTCTATCCTTTTCTCAATTTATATTATAATGTTTGATATCGCAGAATTAAATACAAAATTTTAAATTTTCATCAACTTTAAAGTGTAGCAGATAATTTACTACAGAACATTAATTATAGATATTTTTACCAAATTTTTTTGTCAGAACCTACTATACAAATATCTATTGTGAAATTCTTTTTTTACATTTTTCGTAACTTTTAAATTTCTTACTTTTATTAATAAATTAAAAATATGTTATGTTATTTGTATAGTCCTAAAGTATAAATTATTTAAACAAGAAATTAACTTAAAACATTAAATTGATCAAAAGTTATTGAATTTGTCATTTCTTTGTGACTCACTCTTTATATAGTTGTATTTGTATTAATAATTTTTAAAAATTTATTAACTCAAACACGTGTTTTTTCCAATCCTGATTTGGTTTTTTCTACATGTGTATAAATAAATTGATTAAAAAGATTAAGTAAATAATCGTTTTGAATTCAAAATATAAAAAAAATAATTAATTATATTGGTGATTTTTTTATATATACATCTACTTAAATGAAAAATTGTCATTAGTTAAAATATCACTTAAGTAAAGAGGAAATGGAGGTGAGAAATTCATTTTATATGATGTACTCAAATTAAATCAAATAAAAGGTTATTTTATTTTATTCTAGAACTGGCAACTGATATTTTTCTTATTGATAAATTCCTGTTTGATATTTAATGAAGGTAAGTTCTATTTTACATTATTTATGCGTATTAAGTTTATCAAATATATTTCTAAATTGATACTAATATTTGAAACATTTTCAAAGAGTAATTTTATTAAGTTAACCCATGATAATTATGTTTCAATATTTTGGGAACTTCCATACATAAAAAGAAACAATCGGATTTTCAAAAAAAAAAAGTACATTTAAAGAAATATTTATATTTAATGTGTTAAAAAAAATTATACTTGTATAAATTCAAAAATGTAATACCAGGGTAGAATACGTTTGGAAATATTTTTTAAAATCATTATATCAAATATAAAATTTCTTATTTCTATAAAATAAAATACATAACTCAGTCCAATAGAATCAAAGTTGAAAATTTAAAATACTCACATTTTGTGTAACAAAAATTTTTTTTAAATATTCTTAAACATATTATATATTATAAAATCACCGAACACTTATATTTGAAAAATTAATTTTACATTAATTTATTGGTAATTTTTACATATAAATGTATAAATTGCATGTTTTAGATTTAAAAATATTTTTTTAGGTTAGGTTAGGATTGAAGAAAGTTTTTCTAGAGTATTCAAAAAAGTATTGTATTTCCCAAGTATGGTAATAACAAATCTAAGCCAAAAATTTTAAGTACTGCGAAATTTTCTGAATTTAAATAGTAATTTTTAAGAGGATAATAAAATTTTTTTTTATTTTGTATGGTTTGAATATTTATTTTATAAAAAATTCCCGTATATTCGACATTGAGTGGGAGATAATAGCACTCACTCAAAGGAAATTGGTTACAAAGTCTATAATAATTGTCTTAGCGAAAAGAATTTTAATTTTAATTATAGAAAAGAAATTAAAATAACTTAATATGCGGTATGACACATAATTTCTCCAAAAAAATATCATTGACTGAATTACTCATATAGGAAGGTAATAGTGATAAATCGATTTTATTTTTTAATTAGGAATATACCTCATGAATTCTTCTTCTTCCTCGCCTTAATGCTAACTACTTGGGGTCCTGTTGTCCCCACGTACATCCGAGATGAGACAATTCGCCTAAGTTTTGTTCAGGACACCTCATACTATTTAACAAAAATTTCACGCCGGCTGACGACCTGACGTAACCTCATTAGTCGCCTCTTACGACTGGCAAAGGGGCGTGGAAGTATTCTTATCCCCTATCCACAGGGAATATATATACCTCATGAATCTATAAAAAAAAATATATATTGATTTGGTCATTTTAAAAATAGTTATAGCAGTTTTAAGTAAAAAAAAATTGAAAAAATGTTGAAAATTAGCGATTTATAAAATTGTAATATTTTTGGAGATTTTCCTATTTACGGGGTAATTAAGAAAATTTTTCAATTTTAGAGTGTCATGTCATCAACTAGTTACAATTTGAGATCTTTTGACGTATAGTTGAAAGAAATCGTTTCGGCGAGAGCTAAAAAAAAGTGGTAACAGACACAAAAAAAAAAAAGCACATTATAGTAAAATGAATACTTTCTCTCAGCTTTGCATCGAAGCTAAAATAAAAAAACTTCTAAGATTTTTGTTTATTTCTTAGTTACGAGAACGACCACACCCTATCATTTTTTTTTATACATGTCGTTATTAGTGTTGAATGAATTTTCATATAGATTAATATTTAATCGAATATAAAACTATTCGAAATATTAATTTACAGCCATCTGTATAAAAATTTATTAAAATAATTTTATATTATTATTCGGATGCATATTAATTTAAATTATTTGAGAACAAAAATTATTTGAACAAATTTTCAGCAGGATAATAGTTTATTCGAATAGTATTCAAATAAATAATTATGAGATATATTGTAAAATATAAAACTAACTATTATTTATTTATTATAATTTTATACCTAAGTATGGGTAAACAGTACAGTGAGTTTTTAAAAAATAAAGAAATATATAAGAAGGTATAACATGCAGAACATAAGTGACATTATTAACAATATAGTAATTCTCAAAATTAATTAAATAACTTAAACTACATTTAATTTCACAAATTAGAATAATTTAAACACACTGATGGTGTTACGTTAACATTATTGTGAGAATTTATTATAATAAAATACAGACAGCATATCCGCTTCCTGAGACTGATGAATTAACAATTAACATTTATTGCTAAATTGGCAATAGTCCAAATTACTATAAAAACCCAAAAGACCTGGCCATCTTGGTCAGTCGACTCCAGTGCCTTGTGTCATTTATCAGTCTCAGTACTCGGTTCTCGCTGTCCGACTTACTGCTTAAAGTAAAGTCTTTGTTTTTCCTTTTTAACCTATCTACTCTCTTTCTCAACATTTCAGAGTATTTGTGTCTTGCGCTTCGTCTGTACCTCATACATAAGTGTTATCCTTATTGCCTTCCTATAACAACAGCCTTTCAAAGCTAACTCGGAGTATCAGCCGAGCACGGTGACTGCTGTACAATAACACGCATGTGAATACCTAGACAGCAGGCTCATCCTCATAATCTTCTTCGTACATTTTACTTTCTGTTTTGTGTTACGACAACACTAAGATAAATTATTAAACTGCATGTAGCAATAAAGTTTCGACTTAGCTAAAGTGTCGCAGAATAAATCAACTTATTTTAATTAATCTGTACTCAAGGATTTTGATGGATGTACATTTATTTAAAATACCGACATTTAAGTAAAAATTAATTTTTAAGTATTTGTTTTTTGTAATTTATAAAATATTTAGAAATAATTTGAAAAAAAAAAGAATTTTAGAATACGAGTATTTAAAATTTTTTGACAACTTTGACTCTCTTGGACTGAGTTCTGTATTATATTTTATAAAAAAAATTATTTTTAGACTTGATATAATGATTTAAAGAAGTATTTCCAAAGTTATTCGTAAAAGTATTCTATCCGAGTATGAATGTTAGGTACTTTAAAAGGAACAATCCCAATAATTCTAGACAATTTTATCGATTATTAAGTAAAATAAAAATTAAACTCCTATTTAATAAACTTCCTTCTAGGCAAGAGAAATAACATATTTAGATGAATAACTTATCTCCATTTACATTTTATTAGTAATAAATCATAAGTGAAATTATTTTTTTAATTTCTTTACTTTTATGTATTTCTCCTATTCGGTATGGAGACCAAACCACGGACTCATATTTGTGAGTGGATCTGACAAATGCAATATATATTTCTGAACACAAAAAATTTCTAAATTCATTGCAATTACGTGTAATATATCATAAGCCATGAGAAGTTTTATTGTACATATGTTTAATGTGTTCTTTAAAGGGCAAGTTATTTTAGAAAAAAAACACCAAAATCCTTAATGTTATTTACAACAATTAATCACATATTGGTGAATATTAAAACTTTTTATTCGTGTACAGATGATTTGGAATCGTTAATTATTAATCAGTTTTCATGACACTAATCATAAAAGTCATTTAAATCTGATTGAAACTTATCAAAATTTATTTTAATTGGCATATATAATTTAATATCATCTGCAAATAATACAAATTTACAATGGTTAAATCTCTTACACAAATCACTGAAAAAAAGAATCAATATCAAAGACGAGGTACTCCCAATGTTACATTTATTATTTTAAAAATATACTTTTCAATTTTTTCTTATTTTTTTTATTCGACAAAACCATTATAAAATTGGATTTTTACAACGTATCATTTTAATTTCTGAATTACAATAGAGTGGTTCATACTATCGAAAGTTTTTTTAAGATCTGTATACGTAGTATCAATACGATCATTGGAACTTACTGCTGATACTAGATCATTATAAAATATTAATGAATTATTTATTGTGGCGTTGCCGCTCTACTCTGACTAGTTTAATAAAAATTAATATGTTCCGTTTTTAAGACGTAACCACGTCAGCAGTGCAGCGAGAAGTTAATCAGAGTTTTTAAATATCACTCAAATCACCTAAAATTATTGAAAATTTCATCCTTAATTTCGAGTTTCCCTGTTAGTGTTATATCATATTTATAAATACGCAGATTGATCAATTTATCATAAACCACTCAATTACTTTTAAAATAAATACAATAATTGAAAAAAAATTATTACTCCAGTTAAGTTAAATATAATGAAGGCATTCTTTTTCTAATATTGTATTTATTTTGAGAGTAAACGGAGTGGTTTATGATATACCGATCACCTAGTATATATACAAAGTGATTCTTTTAACATTTGCCAGTCAGTATTTTTCAATATAATAATAATTTTGAAAAATTTTTTTTTTGGATTTTTTTAGTTATCCACTGTTTTTTAAAACGGAAATATATTTTTAGTTTGATAAATTGATAGTGTTTTTTTTTTTAAATTATTAACATTTGAATATTTTATTTAAATTAATAATTTGTTTGTGATAACACTTTAAAATTTCTATTTCTCAAGATTATATACATGTACATAATAAGCGGGACTATAAATACAGGTAGCTAATTGTAGCGTTTATGATGTGTTACTTATAGTAATACATCGGTTATTGCCAATTATTATATTTTGGTCATATTAATTTAAGGTATATAGGTATAGGTGGTTTTAGAGATGATATAAAAACGAATGTATACTGTATACGATGTGTTTGGAAAATATGAAAACCTTTTATTTTTTTATCAAATTATTAGATCATAATTTTGTCATCATTATTTTTATTAAAAAAATGTTTAACTGTTATTAGTTTGAAATTTTGTAAAAATAAATTTATTTTCAAAATTAAAAATATTATTAAAATTTTAAAATGGAACTTGCAATTGGCTTATTTCAAAAAAAATAGTTTTATTTTTATTAAGAGCCAATTTTGTCAAATATTAAATACAAAAACAGTACTTGGGTATAAGGCACAATAAGTTAAATTGCAGTAGCAATGTATGCAAGTATATAATATACATATTTTCTGTAAATACAAAATATATAAAAGTATATGGATAAAAATATATACTAAATTAAAATCAAAAATCAATTAATTATTCCGAAATATTTATAACATTAGCTAACAATAAAAATAAGAAATTGTAAATAATTCATTGGGTTCGTGTCATTTCTAAGAATATTAGAGAAAATTTACATTTACCAATAATTTTTTTTTTATAGTATAAATATAACTTTTTATTTATTAATTGCATGTAGTTAATAATTTAGAGTAAAACAATTTTATTAAGGTACAGTATAATATGTAGTTATTGCACATTGATAATTGTATTATTAATAATTAATTCTGTGTTTGATATATATTATTATTTAATCAATTTGATACTATTTAATACATAATTACTAATATTCTATGGTTTATTTAAATAATATTAAATAAATAATTATAATTAATAAAAGTAATTTAACAGTGTTATAAAGTTGAAGCATTGTTAGGTACATAATGCTAGTGTCATGTTTTTTTATTCTAATGGGAATTATTTACATATAATAATTTAATAATACATATAATTTACATATAATTTTATTTACTTGGTTTTATTATGTATATTTTGAAATATAATAATATTTTTAATAAAATTTAGCATGATATTGTACTTTTTTAGATAAATATGTATTATTATTACTATAATATTTTCAAAGTACCAAAAACAATATATTTTTCAACAATTGAAAACAAATTTTTTTTAGTGACATTTTAATTGATAAAGATTAAGAATTATTTTCTCACGAGAGGAGACTACTGTAATGGGTTCATTGATATTCATTGAAGTTATTCAATCTAAATGAAATAAAAATCAAAGGAATTTTGAATTTTTTTCACCTCAAAAAGAATTAAGAAAAAATGCAAAAATATTGTCAAATCGACAGGCGGGGTTCGAACCTCGTACACCGAGCGTATAAAATAGGCGTTATTGATGCAGCAACTGTACATCACATTTGTCGGTAGATAAAAAGTACAATTTAAGCTAGTTCGAAATTTCAAAGTCATTTTTCTCAATATAAAAATTTCAGTATTTCCAGAAAATGTTTAAAAGATAAGTTAAAAATATGTCAAATGATAGTTAAATATCTAAGGTATCCATAAAAAAAAATTATTTTAAATTGTCTATTTTTAAAAACGTTATTTTAGTTTTAAGAAAAAAAAATTTTAAAAATGTCGAAAATAACTGATTTTTTAAATTGTAATTTTTTGGGCATTTCCCCCATTTATGGGAAAGAAGAAAAATTATTTCAATTTTTGAGTGTAATGTCTTCGATTAGATACAATTTGTGATCTTTTGACGTATAATTGAAATAATTCGGTTCGGCGAGAGCTTAAAAAATATGGTAACAGACACAAAAAGAATATATAGTAAAATTAATACCTTCTGAATTTTACATTGCAACTAAAAAATCATATTATCGCCCTCATGCCGAAATAATTCACGTGTAAAAAATGATCAAATGAATTAACATGCATAACCACCACATAAATATGTGGATTAAATATCTAATTGATAAAATAAGTATTTTAAGTTTTTTTACTACTAAAAATAATAATGATTAAAATTATTTAGATTAAATGTATGAATTAAAACATTATTCAAATAAAATATTGAATTTGTATGATATTAGCTGAAATATATCACAATTTATATTCCCTATCTATTTAATTATCTTTAGTTGTTGAGTTTTATTTTACTTAAATTATCTTTTCTGTTGTTATCCATGTTTATGAAATAACTTACTGAACAAATTGAATAATAGTTTTATATTAATTAATTGTATACCTGTGCATAAGGCAAGGGATTTAACGCCAGGAGAGCTTAATTACAGTATTGTAGTCAAAACAAAAGGGTTATGGTTAGATTATTGTTGTATATTATTTCTATTTCATTATTGAGTTTGAAATTTTCTTGTAGTTTTTATCTGTATTTATTTGAATTATTGAATAATTGTTTGTGCGTGTAATAAATAAAATAAATAAATAAAAATTAAATAAAATTTTAATATTATACCTTGGTAGAAGACTAAAGGCTCGAAGTCAAGGGGCTTAATTAATTTATTATTATTTATTAAAAATATTATTTATTTATTGATCTTTACACTTTGAGTTATTTGTTATTTATTTTATTTACTTAGCTTTAAGGTATACACTATACATAAATATATATACATTTACACATTTCAGTACTACATAGATATGTGCCCAGGCGACCCCTCCCACCACCAGTGACTTTATTACAGCACTATACACTAACATGGTTGGTAAGTCCCTGGAGTGGTATACTAGGCAACTGACCAAGGGTATAAAAAAAAGCGTAATGACCGGATAAGTAATATACCATTTATTACCTCCATCCCAAACAATAGGTTTTAACCGATTTGTTGATATACGTTTAATAAACCAACGGATCATGTAACAGTCTGACATATTGCGAGAAAGGAAAACAATTTGTTCTCTTAAAAATCTCCAAATTTATTTTATTTAAGTTTTATGCAAAATTTGAGACTGCTGTAACAAGTTTATCTTGTTTTTTTAAGCTTTTAAACTTCATTATAGAACTCAATTATCAAAAAATCGAGCTGAACTTTTCACTATAAAATTTTTTGGGTTTAACTTCCAGTTATATATTTATACCCATTTAATGGATATTTTTATGAGGATCTTAAAAATGTAATTCTTTATCTTATTACGCAATCTAAAACTGATAGCATTGCTGTTTATAGGAAAAACATCTCAAAATTTCGAAAAAACTATATTTACGATTCTAAAAATAGTGTGTAATTATAATTAAACACTATTTTTAATTGATAATTAATAATTAATAATTAAATAATAATTATTATCAAAAAAACTATAAATGATGGAAGAAATCTGAAACCAAATTTGGAGCCTGGAGCAAAATCTCATACGAGATTCATCTAAATATTGTAACCACACATTTTTTTTTGTCTTTTATAGTTAATTAGGATTATTTTTAAATTGTTAATTATTGCATAATTTAATTATAATATTTTTGTAATAAAATATTTTGGAATACTTTATATTAGATTTAATGATGTGATATTATATAATATTATTTTAAACATTTAAACATTTATGAACACAATTTTATTAGATTTAAACAATTATAACAATAGTAATATGTAATCTAAGTTCTGGGGTATTAACTGGTGAAGTGCTAAGAATCAGTTCAATACCAATGGTTTGATATTAGTGGTGTATTTAGGTCGAGGAGTATAGACGCACGGATAGCATTAATCCGGTATTTTTCTGATTAAATCTGTTTTTTTAAATTAACTTATAATTTGTTAACTCATCTTATAATTTATGTAGAAATGATAAAATTGCGCTCTTAAAAAATAAATTAAGTATTATTTTAGTGTTGAATTAAATACAAATTATTAAAATGATAACAGTGCTGCTGATAATAGTCTCCTTTAAGCCATTCTACATAACGATGCTATCCGAATATATAAGTGGTTGTAATTATAATATGTATGAATTCTATCGGGGTTGTGTGGTTCGAGGGTTTAGAACAACGAAGACAAGAAGATATAAAAATAATAAATGCAATATCTCTTTGCTGAGGGTTAATAAAGTATAGTATTTTATTAGGTTGGTACCTAATAATATGCACAAGGGCAACGGAACGACCAGCCAGTTCACGGATACTATGTAACGTGACTATGTACATAACCTTAACCAACCATCCTAATATAATATTCTACAATATAAATATAATGAATGATCTATTGCTTCGTCGTTTTCTATTCAGTTTTATTAGCTGTAAATAAATTGGATAACATGAATTTACTTACTTCATATTTTGTTTCCACAAATTGTTATAAGATCATTCGATAAATTTTGATATATATATATACTCAGAGGTATCGGATTTGTAATTTGTCATAAGATAAATAATTAAAACAAATTTTTTCATATATAAATAAGATGTGTAAAAAAGGTAGCGGACAACAACAAGGGGTTGTGGCTGACAATTGTTCTTTGTATAAATTTGACAATATCGTACTGGAGTCTGAAAGGATTTTAGCGTGTGATGGTACCCCCAATCCAAGGATATTGTTGTCAGTGCTTTTAGTGGATATCAATTTATTTTACAGATTAAAAGTTACATGATCATTATATTATGATAGTATTGTTAACAGTAGTTAAATTATGTATTGAACAGTGTGATTATTATGACAGCTAAATTATTTTATTTATTTATTATTAATATGCAATACAGATTATAGTATTTTTATTGATTATTATCAATTACATTATAATGCAATATACGTATATGCCAAACAATTGGACATATACAACAAACATTGATAAATTATTATTTAGATAAAATGTATTCAAATAATTTCTTGTACAAAAAAATGTATTTATGCATAAAATTGTATTCGAGAAATACTACTCTGTCGTATAAATCAGAAATACGCTAATATTATACAAAATAATTCTACTATCATAAATAATTCAATAAGTAGAGCTACAGACTTAAAATAATATCACATTGAAAGTATTTTTTTATTTTTAATTACAAAAATGCTTCCATTTCACAATATTTTTCAAAATTTACAAACTTTTTTGTTTAATTAAACTCAACAATTAAAAATTTTTAATACAAAAACAAATAACACAATAGTAGAACTACTACTTTCTTGATGATATATTATTTAGTAATTTAAATAAAATTTGAAGACAGCAAAATTTAATTAATTATTGTGCTCATTTAGGCATTGTAAATATACAATCGGGTAACAAAAAAAGATGTCCATTTGAAAAAGGTACGACGAGTACAGCTGCTGCAATTGGTCAAATAGAAACATTAAAACAAGCTTATGAAAGTGGTTGCGAATGGGATAAAAATACGACTACTGAAGCTGCTGCAAACGGTCATTTAGAATGCTTAAAATATGTACATAAAAATGGCTGTAGATGGGATAAAGAAACAACAAGGGCCGCTGCTGAAAATGGTCATTTAGAATGCTTAAAATATGCTCATGAAAATAGTTGCAGTTGGGATAAAGAAACAACTAGGGCTGCTGCTAAAAATGATCATTTAGAATGCTTAAAATATGCTCATGAAAATAGTTGCAGATGGGATAAAGAAACAACTAGGGCCGCTGCTGAAAATGGTCATTTGAAATGCTTAAAATATGCTCATGAAAATGGCTGTAGGTGGGATAAAGAAACAACAAGGGATGCAGCTATAAATGGTCATTTAGAATGCTTAAAATATGCTCATGAAAATGGCTGTAGATGGGATAAAGAAACAACAAGGGCTGCTGCTGAAAATGGTCATTTAGAATGCTTAAAATATGCTCATGAAAATGGATGTAGATGGAATAAAGAAACAACAAGGGCCGCTGCTGCAAATGGGCATTTAGAATGCTTAAAATATGCTCATGAAAATGGATGTAGATGGGATAAAGAAACAACATGGAATGCAACTGCAAATGGTCATTTAGAATGCTTAAAATATGCATATCAAAATGGCTGTAGTTGGAATAAACAAACAACAAGGTCCGCTGCTGCAAATGGACATTTAGAATGCTTAAAATATGCTCATGAAAATGGATGTAGATGGGATAAAGAAACAACAAGTGCTGCTGCAATAAATGGCCATTTAGAATGCCTAAAATATGCTCATGAAAATGGCTGTAAATGGAATGAAACAACAACAGAAGCAGCTGCAAAAAAAGGCAGTTTGGAATGTTTAAAATATGCTCACAAAAATGGATGCCGCTGGAATAAAGGCATAATTATAGCTGCTGCTACAGAAAGTAATTTAAATTGTTTAAAATATGCATACGAAAATGGTTGCCAATGGGTTGATGGCATAACTACTGCAGCTACTATGAGAGGTAATTTAGAAATTTTAAAATATGTACATGAAAATGGATGCAAATGGGATGAAGGTACAACTAGGATTGCTGCTTTTAATGGTGATCTACAAATTTTAAAATACGTCCACGAAAATGGATGCCAATGGGATAATGGTATAACTACTACAGCTACCATAAGAGGTCATTTAGAAATTTTGAAATATGCTCATGAAAATGGATGTCCGTGGGATAAAAACACAACAGAAGTTGCTGCAAGTTATGGTAATTTAGAATGTCTCATATATGCACATAAAAATGGATGCAAATGGGCCGCAGGTACAACTAAAGCTGCTGCATTAGGAGGACATTTAGATTGCTTAAAATATGTCCACGAAAATGGATGTGATTGGGATGAGGGTACAACTAGAGCTGCTGCAGTAAGTGGCTGTTTAGACTGTTTAATATATGCCCATGAAAATGGATGTCCATGGGATGAAAACACAATAGAAAGAGCTGCAATTTTTGGTAATTTAAATTGCCTAATATATGCACATGAAAATGAATGCAAATGGGCCGTAGGTACAACTGAAGCTGCAGCTTTAGATGGTTATTTTGATTGTTTAAAATATGCCCACGAAAATGGATGTGATTGGGATGAGGGTACAACTAGAGCTGCTGCAATAAGCGGCTGTTTAGACTGTTTAATATATGCCTATGAAAATGGTTATCCATTGGATAAAAAAATAACGTCAATATCAGCTCTTAATGGTGATTTACAAATCCTGAAATATGTTCATGAAAGTGGATGCGAATGGGATGAAAACACAACAGAAGTTGCTGCAAGTTATGGTAATTTAGAATGCCTAATATATGCACATCAAAATGGATGCAAATGGGCCGCAGGTACAACTAAAGCTGCTGCATTAGGAGGGCATTTAGATTGCTTAAAATATGTCCACGAAAATGGATGTGATTGGGATGAGGGTACAACTAAAGCTGCTACAGTAGGTGGCTGTTTAGACTGTTTAATATATGCCCATGGAAATGGATGCAAATGGGATGAAAAAATAACGGAAATAGCTGCTTTTAATGGTGATTTACAAATTTTGAAATATGTGCATGAAAATGGATGCGAATGGGATGAAAATGTAACAGCAATAGCTGCTTCTAATGGTGATTTACAAATTTTGAAATATGCCCATGAAAATGGATGCAAATGGGGTAATTCAATAACAACAATAGCCGTTTTTAATGGTGATTTAGAAATTTTGCAATATGCCTATGAAAATGGATGCCATTGGGATGAAGGCATAATTATTATGGCTGTTAAAAACGGTTATTTAGAAATTTTAAAATATGCTCATGAAAATGGATGTCCGTGGGATGAAAACACAACAATAGCAGCTGCAAAATCTGGTAATTTAGAATGCTTACAATACGCTCATGAAAATGGATGTCCTTGGGATGAAAACACAACAAAAGCAGCTGCAATATCTGGTAATTTAGAATGCTTACAATATGCTCATGAAAATGGATGTAATTGGGCTGTAGGTACAATTAGAACTGCTGCTTTAAGAGGTAATCTGGAAATATTAAAATATGCACATAAAAATGGTTGTAAATGGGATAAAGATACAACAAGAGTCGCTGCTGAAAATAGGAATTTCGAATGTTTAATNACAATTAGAACTGCTGCTTTAAGAGGTAATCTGGAAATATTAAAATACGCCCACGAAAATGGTTGCGAATGGGATGAGGACACAACTAGAGCTTCTGCAGCAAGTGGTTGTGTAGATTGCTTAAAGTATGCTCATGAAAACAAGTGTCATTGGAACGAAGGAACAATAGTTATAGCTGCCATGCATGGTAATTTAAATTGTTTAATATATTCTTACGAACATGGGTGGGATTGGTACGAAGGTACAACGAGAGCAGCTGCTGCAAATCGACATTTAGACTGCCTAAAATATGCTTATAAAAATGGTTGTAAATGGGATGAAGGTACAACAAGGGAAGCTGCTGCGAGTGGTTGTATTAACTGTTTGATCTTTGCTCATGAAAATGGATGTAATTGGGATGAAGGAACAATAGTTACAGCTGCCATGCGTGGACATTTAGATTGTTTAATATATGCCCACGAAAATGGATGCAAATGGGATGAAGGCACAACAAGACTTGCTGCTGCAAATGGTCAATTTCGTTGTTTAAAATACGCTTTTGAAAATAATTGTCCATGGAGTAGTAATACCATATATGAAGCTTCTCGAAATGGTTTTATTGATGTAATCAACTATGCTATCAAAAATGGCTGTCCTAATTAGTTTTCTTTTGTAATTATATATATTTTTTATATTTATTTATGTTGGCTATTTTTATTATATTTGCCTAAATTTACGATAGTAATAATATTGACAGCATTTTTGATAATTTACTTGCTTTATAAATATTTTTTTTGAAAGTATTACCAAAATCCAATATATTATCTAAAAAAAACGTTTTCAAAAGTCAATTTCATATGAACACAAATAATTACACAAGACATGCAGGAAACCAGTGTTACAGAATGAAAGATAATGACAGTGTTAAATTAAAATTTTTTNAAAATAATAAAATAGTTACTTCTATGACAAACGTGTAAATATTGAAGTGCTTGCCGCAAAACTTTTTATATAATAATTTGTTATTAATTATGCATAAATGGTCTGCAAAAAATTATAATCAGAGTCTAAGAAATACTTTTATTTTTCAATTTTTTGTGCTAATTTCAAAGCGGCATTTATATTTTTTCACATTCCATCTATTATAGTATGATATAAGGAAAATAGTTTTGAATATTTCAATTGTATTATCTAAATTATATGATACAATTGAAAAACTTAGAGTTACATAGAAATGATTAATATTTCTTTTGAACTGACTTATTACAATAAAAAAATATTTAAAAACAAAAAAATATTGTTTTTAAATTATTACAGATTTTGATTTTTAATATATTAAAAATAATCAATGCAAAATATAATTTTAAACTATTTTTTGGTCATTTAAAGTTGATTTTTTGAAAGTTCAAATACAAAAAAATTGAATTTGTTACCATAACTTTTAGCTCAATTTCAAGTTCGAAATTTAAATTATTAAATAGATGATTTTATGAGAATCAAAAAAATAATATTGTTAGGATTAATATTTAGTCAGGAAATTTCATAATTACTATTTACTATACATTTATCAGAAAAGATTATTATTTTTTTCGCATTTTTATTGAAATAGATAATTTAAATAGAAATCATAGTAATTATTTTTAAGTAACCTTTGGTGTTTACAATGATTCTAAAAATGAAATATTCAGAACTTAAATAATTTTAATGACTTACTTTAATCCTTATATTTTTCAAAAAATGATTCCATTATAGTTTAAAAAAATAAAAAAGAATTTTTTTACAAAAACCGTATTTTTTTTATTAACTTTGATGTCCGTTTTCACCACGAAAACAAAATAAAATTCAAATTTTTCTTTATATTAGCGTATATTACATAAAATTACATAAGCTTTAATTTAAGATATATATAAAAATGTCAGTATTTTTGTGAAAAAGTGGTCCCCCTTTTGGGAAGGTTAAATGTCAGATTTGAAAAAAAAATATACAAAATACCTCATGAATCTATAAAAAAAAATTATATTAATTTGGTCATTTTAAAAAAAGTTATGGCAGTTTTAAGTAAAAAAAATTTTAAAAATGTTGAAAATTAGCGATTTATAAAATTGTAATTTTTTTGGAGATTTCCCTATTTACGAGGTAATAGGAAAATGTTTTAAATTTTCGAGTATCATGTCATCTACTAGATACAATTTGTGATCATTTGACATATAGTTGAAAGAATTCGGTTCGGCGAGAGCTAAAAAAATATGGTAACAGACACAAAAACAAAATTAAATATTAAAAAAAACAAATCATAGTAAAGTTAATACCTTTTTAGCTTCACATCGAAGCTAAAACTAAAATAGGCCACAGACCAGAAGGAAATTAAAGTCACATATTAATATGTGGCTTAATTTATACTTAAAATACTTAAATATATATTTAAAAAAAAACGGTAGCACAGTGGGGTCGCGGCATAGTAACTCTAAGTTTTTCAATTGTATCATATAATTTAGATAATACAATTGAAATATTCAAAACTATTTTCCTTATATCATACTATAATAGATGGAATGTGAAAAAATATAAATGCCGCTTTGAAATTAGCACAAAAAATTGAAAAATAAAAGTATTTCTTAGACTCTGATTATAATTTTTTGCAGACCATTTATGCATAATTAATAACAAATTATTATATAAAAAGTTTTGCGGCAAGCACTTCAATATTTACACGTTTGTCATAGAAGTAACTATTTTATTATTTTTTTATAATATATGTAAAAATTACAATGCTAAATTATCAAATATCAATTTCATACTACATTGAATTGCTATAATAGATATTTAATTATATATTATACTTATAAATCAAAGAACTACTAACCAGGATATAATTAAGGAAATAGTTAATGTTGCTTTTGGAATAATTAAAATTCACCAATATCTTAAAATTAAACACTATTTACAGATTTGTATCGAAGCGTTTAGAATGATAGTGATTTTAATCATCTATACTTGTCTCAACTATACTACGTTCCTACTATGCCATGTCCCCACTGTGCTGCCGTTTTTTTTTTATTTTGTAATTAAGTTAGTTACGATAAATAGATCACCCTATATAATTATATTCATTATGGAGCGAATTTATCCTCTATATTCTCCTGTGAGAACGCCTGTGATACAAAATATTTTATTTTAGACCCTCAAAATAAAATCATGGTTACATGTCTGTTATGTCTCTATAGTGAATGTTATCGATTAAGTAAAACATTTCCGTAAGGATTTTTGTAAAGATAACATTATTGAAAACAATTTAAATAGGAATCCCGTTGAACAATAGTTATAATTACAATGTGTTAAGTCGAATATTATATTATATTATATTTGAATTATAATTAACAAATATTGTGCATAAATCACTAATATATAATAATGTGAAAATTCTAATATATCTTTATTGTACAATTAATTGTAAAACATACAAATATTCAATATTTATAAACAAGTCAAAATCTTAAATTTTTTGTAAAATCGTAACTATATGGTTCTCAACCCCTTTCCTCAAAGTTCAGGTGACTTTCAATTTCTTTTTTTTTTTTATTAAATACAGTATTTAAAATATGGAAATACATACAAATAAAATAATACAACTTTTTCTTGAGCCCTCCAAAATATACAGTACATTTTTAAATAGTTTAAATAATTATTATTTCACGTGATCGTACAAAATAAAACTTTAAAATTACATTGTAGTGATCCGAAATACAATAAGAAGAATAATACAATTTTGGTTACTATAATCCTAATTACAACTAATATAGCTGAACATTTATATTAGTTGCATAATGCATACATTATCTATATAAGATTATCAACTTTAATTTTTAAAAAACTTACTTATTAACAAATGGTTAAAGTATTTAAAATACTATCTTTCGGTAGTAAGATAAGATGGTGTTATTTATACTAAATTAAAAAGAACCCTATAAGCAATATTATATGAATACAATAAAAAATATTTTTTTTAAATTGTTTGATTTTTATTTGCAGAGAATTTCTCCATAACTTAATTGTGTTATAAGGTTTTAGATTTTACATTAAAATATTAAAAACTACTTAGTTACTTTTATTGTTTTTAGTACACCTATTTATGTTGTATGCCAAGAAAATATCTTGATAAGATATCAACAAAGATAAGATATTAAAAAAATTAATTCCTATTATTTTTAATATTTCACACTTAATATTATAAAATTTGTTATGTTTTTAGTATAAAAATGTAATATTGTGCTGCTAATTGTTTAGTATATAAATATTTAGAGTACTATTTGTGGGATCTATTTGGCATTTTGCTTGATAAAACTTTGAATACATAAAGTGTGTTTTAATAAAACTTAAAATAATAAATCTATAAATATAAATGTGACAACAAGGGAAATAGAGTAAAAAAATGTTGACTTCTTAAGTATAAAAAAATACGTGTATTTTTCTCAGTATTTAGAAATTAACGCTGCGAGCGATGTTAAAATAATGCATAGTTAAATACACAATTAATATCATCAATTACTGATGATATAATTGTGTCTTGGGAAATAAACATATACATTTATCATGAAATTACAAATGTAACACAAAATTGGGTTTTATTTATTAGTAACAATTAATATTTTTGTATTGATTTGGTTTTCTCATGTGTATACGCTTATTTCCTGTCTTTTTTTGCACCGTTGTCTTGCCAAATAGCATAAAGCTATCGTGATGAGTATGACTATTGCTATGCTCATTCCTATGCTGATCCATATGACTTCTTCATTAAAACCACCAGACGCATGTCCTATTAAGTAAAAAAGTACATTTCATATAAAACATAGAAATATTTGATAAATGGAATACTTTGTTATTTTTATTTTTAATCGAGTAAATAATTAATTTTTTTATTATTTTATATTACATTTTATCGTATTATATGAATAATGTAAAATAATAAAGAAAACAATCAGTGCAGTTAAGACCTGGTATAGTTAAAACCAGTATGAAATGAAATCTAAAAGTAATTATTTTGAATATTAATTATCACTTTTACTTATAATATAGTATATACGAGTAAAGTCAAAAGTTAATATCGTTAATAAAAGTTATAGCATTATGAATTTGATATTTCGATAAATTATAAAAGTGTTCAATTAAACCTAATAGCTAATTATACAGAATTTTTTACAACATAATGTTTTCAATATATGGCATTGACAGTTTCAATATGATATAATTTTTGTAAATTGTCAAGCAATATCGGTCTAGCAAACGCTAAGTATTTTGAGAAAAAAAAACACTGTTTTGATATAAATATCTTTAATTGTCAGCATAATTTTTAATTTTTTTTATATTATTATTATTATTATTTTATATTATTATTACTCGTCATTTGTGTTTTGGAAAGTATTTAAATAATAAGGTTAATTTTTAATAGTTTTTAAAATTTAAGAGCTATAAAACAATATTAAGTTTTATAAAACACTAAGATAAAATAAATTAAGTAATGTACCACTTGATCCACCAGAGTTGTATACTCCAACACCTTTGCTAGCAACTCTTCCTCCGGCTGGCATTCTTAACAATTAATATTGTAATTAACTATTTGTGAATTCTTGTAACTATATAGTGTCGCGATTTTATTAATTTTAGTATCCCCTGTAATTAAATATATTAAGTATTATAACAAAATTATTGCAAAAATATAGTTTCTTAAGAGTCTAGTATATCAAATCTGTTTTAGATGTATAAAATGTAATGCTATTAATTCCAAAGAATGGCTTAAAGCATTTTTTTCCTAAGTAATCATTTAAAACTTTTCTTAGTGTAAGTTAAATAGTCTAGGTTGAATATTTTTCAGAATAAATAAACTGCCATAAGTGTTCTATTGAAGTCATTAAAAAACTCATTTTGTAAATCCTTTCAA